AATGTTAGGTAATGTCCAGACAGATGTCTAGCAAAATTCTCCGGGCTACGTTGATCCAACAATGTGCGAATAGGGGTGGGGGAAAAGGTGCTAAGCTGAAATGGTGGCGAACGATCTTGACGCGTGGGTAGTTTTTGCGAACATGGGGAAATAATTCTGCCATGTGTGTCGGTCAGAATTTAAGCTCCACCCATATCAAGAAAAAACGAACTATTCATTGGTTATAAATATCACCAATCGTGGTTTCGGTTTAAAGATTGGCTATTTTATAGTGACCAATACTAAAAATATTTTATAGCACGTGACTATAAATGATGGGCCCTGTTTTCCGAATACCTTCCGTCATCATTTATATTATTGCTGTGATGATTTTTAGTGCTCTAAAAGAATATTATTCGGACTCAACATCTTTTCCGTTCGTGTTCAAGACACATGGGGCATACTAAGTTACGCGTCTTGGCTATTTCTTTCAATGTTGTGTTCAGTGTTAGTGTTCTAAGTACATGAATTAAAATTATTCTCACTCATCATCTTTTCCGTTCGTGTTCAAGACACATGGGGCATACTAAGTTACGCGTCTTGGATATTTCTTTCAATGTTGTGTTCAGTGTTAGTGTTCTAAGTACATGAATTAAAATTATTCTCACTCATCATCATCTTTTCCGTTTGTGTATGTGTTTAAGACACATAGGACATACTAAATACTACATCTGTTTTAATTACCTCGGGATACAAGAGAATAAAATGGCCCGTATTGATTTCTACACCCTTTTGGTAAGTAAAGCTTTAAATAGATTTTGAAAAAAATATAGCCGCATGTGTATAGAAGCGGTCTTTTGTGTAGATTATATTAAAATTCTACATTTTTAAATATCACCCAATGACGTTAACCCCAAAGTCACCCCACCTAAAGTATGCATATATTGCGATAAACGTCCAAACTATCATCGTTCTTCATCCCATCCCCTTTAAAACGCATGAATATGACATAACTTTTTATCCCTATGTAAAACAAATAACCTCCAGATGTATAAATAGGCATTACCATGTGCTCAAACAAATTGTATGGAAACAAGTATCAGTGGTACCTATATTATCAAACATACTATTTTAGATACTACAATATCGATCTATATTTTAAGCGTGAAACTTCAATTTGTGTGGGTTCCTTTAAACTTTTTACGTTTTATATAGACGCTATACGGAAATAATTTAATACAGTTAAATACGCACGCCTTCCAGACTTTCCCACACCCCCACGCATGCTTATCGCATTTATCTAACCTTCATGTAATAGACATATCGAAATAATTTAATACAAAAAGATTATAATAACTACACACAACTACGTGACTTTTCCCTCACCCCCCCCCCCCCCCCGCATACTTATCGCAATATGTGCACAACTCACCCCTACCCACACCACATACATTTTAAGTACACACATTCTTTAGTCAAATTTGTAGGCCCTATGCAATGTTTACAACTTTTTTACAATTTTTTTTACTTTATGTTTTAGACTTACGGAAATTTAATACAGTTAATTTTAGAATAAAAGCACACAACTACGTGGCTTTTCGCACCCATTTGCATACTTATCGCATTACGTGCACTAATCACCCTTATCCACACCATCATTATTTTAAGTACAACGTTCTTTAATCAAAACTGAGCGTAATGTTTACAATTTTTTTTTTCTTTCTTTTTTTACATTTTTCTAATGTCGCAAAGCTATAAAAAGCTATATAATATCAGGATCGCGTAAGTTAGGAAGGTTTTCTATAATACATATATGTAACGAAGTATAAAAGTGCCAAATATCTATATCATACAAGGTTGCAAAGTATTTCATCTTATAGCTTGTATACTTCCCATTGATTTTTCCTTTAGAGAACTTATCTGCCTCACTTCGCAAAGTTACAACGTCGAACTCCCTAACTTACTAATGTCTGTATATATATATATATATATATATATATATATATATATATATATATATATATATATATATATATATATATTTGTGAGCCGTGACTGTTGGACATTAAATACCAGATTAACTTTGGTTTTTCGATCAGACAAATTACATCTTAATCAACTATACAAATAATTTACTTCCATTATACCGAAATAATGCAATTGTACGGGGACACAAACATTAACATAGATAAAATATAAACATACCGACAAATTAAAAACTTAAATCGAATCTTTCTCTAGTAGCCAATAAATAAGTCGTTAATTATAGCACTTTTAAGTGTAGCCTGTCAAACGGTTTAATTCTTAATTCATTTACACTTTACAAGCAGTAACAAATGACGATGTTTTATACATTACAATGTGAATATTAAAACTAATAAACAAAATACACGTTTGATTATATAATAGAAGCATTACAGCTCTTTATTTGCAATAATATATTTATTTTAAAAAAATTAAATGCATACCAATGCATCATCGAAATATATTTCACATAAAAATAACTACACATTTGGTTTAAGTGCAAAAAAATCTAATACAATTTGTACCGAAATGTGTATCAAGAAAATACTCATTCTGTTTGAAATGTAGGCCTATCGTTTTATGTTGTTGGCTGACTTTTTAAAAAAAGTATCTGAAAAATATGTGGTATTTAATTTTAAAAGAAGGTCCGAACTGTACTTTAATAATATAACTGACCTTTCTTAAATACATTTTAATAAACCATAATAATTCATTCTGTGTAAGTTAACATCAAGTATAAACGATTTTTAACCTCAAATGTATTTTAGAGATGTCTAAATACAAATCAAAACTCGAGCATCTGAAAAAATGTGCTAGAGCAGCTAGAAAAAATGTAGGTCCTTGTACAGAGTAAACTAGGAGATTTGGTCTGACCGGTAAGCGCAACTATTTCAAATCCTCTAAAGGACAAATCATGTTCACTTCATGAGGAAATAAATATTTATAAATCTCTCTGCCTCGCTCTCATTATATATATATATATATATATATATATATATATATATATATATATATATATATATATATATATATATATATATATATATATATATATATATATATATATATATATATATATATATGTATATATATATATATATATATATATATATGTAAGTTTGCATCAATCTGTTTTTTAGTTATTGCTCTGATATAATACATTTTTTTGGTCTTATGTTGTAGTCTTACCAGCACTACTTCTATCTTACAAAGGATACTATTGAAGCACATTTGATCTCAAGTAAATATTTTAATATTAATTTTAAGTTTAACAAATATCACTCAAAATTTGCAATATTAAATCAAAATGTCGGCATAACAGCTGCAGACAACAGCTGGTTAGACACAGTATAGTGACGTTATATGTTACGTCCTAGATATCATTCTGGTTTCTCGGTGGTAGTGGGGGGGGGGGGGGGTAAGTATCTGCTAAGCGTAAGCAACGATAAAACCAACACTGCTAAAACGGAGGACTGTACTAAGCTAATATTTTAATACTAGTTTGCTGTATTTTTAATTTAAAAAATAAAGATGTTTACAGTTTATTTTAAAATAATTACATTTACAGCAGTAGGGCCTACATTGTTGACGTTGTAAGAAATGATGTTTAGTTAAAATTAAGGGTCACATATTTAATTCTTGTCACATAAAGTTTAGTAGCGTGTATGTAACAGATATGCTTGTCACATAAAGTTTAGTAGCGTGTATGTAACAGATATGCTTGTCACATAAAGTTTAATAACGTGTATGAAATAGATATGCTTGTCACAAAAAGTTTAGTAACGCACAAGTCAGCCCATTTGCCATGTTAACATTTGGTGATGAATATAACGGTCCGCACTTCAATCAAATGGCAGGAACATTTTTATCATCACATGATGGTTTATATCTGGGATGAGAGACTCTATATTAAAGTGAAGATAAACGGATAACATTTGGTGTGTTGACTGGAGGAGGGGGGGGGGGGTAGAAGTTTATCGAGGTTGACTGTGTGAACTCAAGCAGTTCAGGGTCAACGATTGTTGACATGAAGAAAGGTGAAGAATTTCGCTTGATGGTAGTGTGCGCAGCAAAAGACGCAAAGTTATCCAGCAAAAGTAGCTGCGCTATATTTAGATTATAGAAATTCAACACACAATTGGCGCATGTTGAATTTTTAAAACACCGTATCCACTACCTTTTTATGCGTATTATATTCTGTTATATATATAGTATTTTTTGTGTTCAAAATAATTTTTAATGCGTTATATATTTTAGTTCGAAAAATTTAAAAATAACTATTTTACCTCTATCAGATTAATCAGGGGCATGAGATTAAATAAATAAGGAACATAATCAATAGTCAATGTCTTGATTAACTCCCTTTGATTGGCTGTGTGTATTAAATTACTGAACTCATTTGAATAACAACATAAACACCATTGAACAGCCGGATTTTTAACGGAATCATTAAAGTCTCTTAATCAGTGTGTGCATTTAATATGGTTTTCTGTTGACTAATATTGTAAATATATTGGTTTTTCTAAAAGTATTATGAATTGTTAGCCTATGTTATTTTAAATGTGTCGGACTTTTAGCTATTTCTTTGCTTTATCGCTAATATCGTTAAACATGTATTAAAGCACATTGCGCTTAGACCAATAACTATTTTATTAAACAATATTCTAAAAAATGTATGCCATTAAAAATATAAAGACCGATAATTCACGTGTAACTGGTACCGACGGCTAGTAAATTAGAATGACCAATTAACTAACTACTGTAATATCATTCTAATTTGATTTTTTTAGCGATACCATTAAAACCCATCGACAACTATGAAATAGCATGTCCTATATTGTCAATTTCTTGGATAAATGAATGAAATAAATAACGTACATAACACAGACATTGCTTTTAATATACATATTTTATTCAAATTAAGAGATACAACTGATAGTGCATTTAAATTTAACATTTTTTAAACAAAACACTTAAAATTGTAACTTCCTAAAGTTATAACATTAACATAAAATAATGGAGAACAAACTATTATGTTAAATAAATCATAAAATTTTCTTTAAATCAAATTATGAATTAAAAATCATCGTTGTAAACGGATACAAAGAATTAAACGCTTGACAATTTGACTTTACTGTAGTCTTCAATAAGCAACTACCCAATTATTATGTGACAGCTTGCCCTAAAATCCTAATAACCGAATTAAGTAGTATTTACCTCGAATCCATATTATAGCCGTCTAATTTATGCAACTTTTTAAAATGAAATAATTTTAAATATTTGTTTTTGTAATAACAGCTGTTATGTTTAATATGATACATATATCATGTTATTATTGATATACTAGTATTGAAAGTAGTATCCACAATGCTGTTTGTTTAAAAGTAAACTGTAACATCTAATAACTAACTTCATGTTTTATAGAAGTGAGCAAGAAAAATGCCCGCAATTAACAAGATATTCAGACATTGCAAATATTTGATCACCGGCGTCCATGTAAACTACAAATGTCTTGGAACCACCATGAAAATCTTCTAGGGAGTAAACCGTAAGTGATTGGTTATAGAGCCGATAAACATCTGCATCCACACGCTTGCTACTACTGAAACCAATTGGTGCTATGGCAATACTGACCCTGTACATGCCTTTTACAGGTGCCGTAAAAAAGCCAGTACTGGGGTTAAAATAGTTTCCCTCGTTACCTTGTACTTCCCGAAATTCTAGCACCCCGCTGTATGGTGACCTGTATCCACCTGAAGCTTGGAAGCCCACCTTAGATTTGGTCGCTGGTGGATTCACTGTCAAAAGTAAAAGCAACTGATAGTCAAGTTATATGCAAAGAGGGCATGCTTCATTCATTTTAACCCATTGTATATATAAACGATTAATTTGAATAAACACGAGCAATACAAAACGTATGAAGTGCATTGTCTTCTTTCTTACCTTATCTTACCATGTTAATTTTTCAGTAGCTAATATACAGTGTTTCACACAAAAATTAGTAAATATAATGTTGTCAAACAAACTATACAGGGAATGAACGATACAATACTAAAACCATTAGCAAACCATTTCCTACCAAATAGTGCAACCACCACCCACTGACTGAGCGGATACTCCCATGCGCAACAATCTCTGACCTGACTATTAGACTGTCCGGTCAGGGTGGAGATGTGAGAGTAACTTATCTCTGAGGCATAGTGCTGATCACATTGTCCCTCTATAGGTCAAGAAACATATGAACTCCACTTCATCTGCGCAATGGATCATAAGGTCTAAAGAGGAATCTTTTACATCTTTATTATACAGTATACATTACCCCGTAACCGTTGACACAAAGCTTATATAAGCTACATATTATCCTAGATTATAGATGAAACCTAAGTAGTCTCAGTTGCTGACCATTTTACATATTCTGCCTAATAACCGGTGAGGTTCAAACACAAGCAAATTACGTATACGTGTAACACACACCCACCCTGTGACATCTTTATTAAATTTATTTATATATGAATATAAAACAATCACTTAACTTACAACTAGGAAGAGCTCCCTTTAAAAGGCTGGAACCATTGTCTTGTGTGGTCAAAACCTTTAGTAAAATGCACATCATTAACTTGCAAATAATCACATTTAAACAATTTAATTTTGTTAGCTAATTGGCTTACGTGCATAAATATTATATATATAAAAAATGTTTCCTTGTTTCATTTATGTACCTGTATTCAAACAATTGAATTAAAACTTTTCATTAATAAATGAAGACTAGCGATGTTTCCAACAGATGCAACTGTAATAGATTGAAATAATTGTGAGGTCAAGGGAACTCACTCTTCTGTATTAGTTATATTTATAATATTGTTATCTTGAGTGATGTCCCTTGTGTACTTCCTTCCGTCCTCTCTGTGTGTTACCATCGTGATGTAGTTAGACCCAATAAACGTGTTATATACAACCACAGGCTTCTGTCGTCAATCCATTATAACTGGCGACGAAGGATAAACATCTACTAGAAAGAGCACCTACTTACGCAAAAAAGAGGTTTGCTAGAGCTTATTAGCTAATTATTTCTAGAATTATGGCGCTGTATGGCCAAATAAAAGAATTTGATGCGAATGATGAAATCATTCAAGATTACCTAGAGAGGTTAAGCTTTTACCTAGAAGCTAACGACGTGACGATAGAAGCCAAAAAGAGAGCTGTTTTGTTAACAGTCATAGGGCCTCAACAATTTAGGCTACTAAAAGACTTATGCGCACCAGCTAGTCTAACTACCAAGAGCTTTAACGAGCTGAGCAAATTGCTAACAGACCACCATGCGCCTACCCCATCAAAGTTTCTATGTAGAGCTAGATTTGACAGTAGGACTCGTCAACCAAACGAGTCAATAACAGAATATGTTGCTGCTTTACGTCATTTAAGTAGATTTTGTGAATTCGGCGATACGCTGGCTGACAGACTATGTGAAAAGTTTGTGACAGGTGTAAACAGCCCTGATATTCAAAGAAAGTTGCTGCTCGAGTCAGATCTAAAATTGGAAAAAGCAATACAACTTGCAATGTCATTCCAGCAGTCATCAGATGCGGCGAGATCTTTAGCACCTTCAGAGATCCATGCAGTAAACAGCAGGTTAGTCAATAAACATCATCCCCATCAGAGCATTCCAACTTATGCTAAACAGCCTGCTCGTTCAAATCCTAGATCTAAATCTAGTAATAATTATCAAAAATGTCATCGATGCAAAGGTCCCCATGCATCTCATCGGTGCAAGTTCAAGTCTGCAACTTGTTATAAGTGCGGTAAGCAAGGTCACATTGCCAAGGCCTGCTTTGCAAAGTCTTCGTCTGTTGCTAAATCTAGCCAGTCAAGACAGTACCGCAACCAAAAGCAGCACTATGTTAACTCTCACCAAGACTACCTAACCCAACCAATGAACCACTCTACCTGTGAAAATGCTCAAATTGATTTGCAGCCGGATTTCAACCTGTTCTCTGTTAAATCAATAAGTCATGCTCCCATCAATGTACAAGTTAATATCAACGGTAAGAGCATCAGCTTCCAACTTGACACTGGAGCATCTCTAACAGTCATAACAAAGAAAGAGTTTGACGCTGTCACAGGAGGATCAGTGCCTCTACAGCCGTGTCACAAGTGTCTAACAACATACACTGGTGACAATGTTCCGGTAATAGGAGAGTGTATGGTTCATGTAAGTTATAATGGTCAAAGTGTTAAACTTCCTCTTCTTGTGGTTGAAGGAAATGGACCGCCATTACTAGGTAGGAACTGGTTAAGTGATCTTAAGTTAAATTGGGAGAGTATTTGTTCATTGAGGAATGTAAAAGAATCTAGTCTTACTTCACTAGATAAAGTAATATCTGAAAATAAATGTGTTTTTGGTAACTCTGGATTACTAAATGATAGAACAGTGAAGTTAAGCATTAAAGATACAAATCCAAGATACTGCAAAGCTAGAGTTCCACCTTATGCAATGAGGAATAAAATTGAAAATGAGCTAAGTAGATTGGAATCTAATGGCATCATAAAGAAGGTAGACTATTCCGATTGGGCGACACCCATTGTGCCAGTGTTAAAGAAGGATGGTTCTATAAGAATTTGTGGAGATTATAAAACTACACTGAATAAGCAAATAGAGCTAAATAGGTACCCTATACCTAACATTGAGGAAATTTCTTTGAATTTGGCAGGAGGAGACAAATTCACTGAATTAGACTTTAGTCATGCTTACACTCAACTAGAACTGCATCCAGATTCAAAAGTCTATACGACAATAAACACACATAAAGGACTCTACCAATATGAAAGACTATGTTTTGGCATATCATCTAGCCCTGGAATTTTCCAAGCTGTCATGGACAGTATTTTTAAGGATATTCCAAATGTTTGTGTGTACTTTGACAATGTGTACATAACTGGTAAGAATGACACTGAACATCTTAAAACACTTGATAAAGTATTGAAAATTGTTGGTGAAAAAGGTTTAAAGATAAACAAAGATAAATGTCAATTCATGCTGACAGAAATTAGTTTTCTTGGTTATATATTGAGCAAACAAGGCATCAGACCTCAACCTGAGAAAACAAAAGCCATTAAAGAAGCACCCAAACCTGAAAATACCCAACAACTAAGAGCTTTTTTGGGCTTGATAAATTACTATGCAAAGTTCATAGGAAATCTGTCTGGTAAACTATCACCACTGTACAAGCTGCTACAGAAAAATGCAACTTGGCACTGGGGTAAACAACAAGAAGCTGCTTTTAATACAGCAAAAGAGGCTTTGTCTGCTGACACCTTACTAACTCACTATGACCCAGGGAAAAGACTTATATTAACATGTGATGCTTCACCAGATGGTGTAGGAGCAGTCTTGTCCCACATGGATGAGAAGGGTGACAGACCCATTGCTTTTGCCAGTAGATCTTTGAACCAGGCTGAGAAAAATTATTCTCAGTTAGATAGGGAAGGCTTAGGCATCATTTTTGGTGTTAAGAAATTTCATAAGTTTCTGTTTGGTAGGAAGTTCACCATCTTTACAGATCATAAACCATTGCTAGGTTTATTTGGAGAAAACAAAACCCTACCTGAGCATGCCTCACCAAGAATTCAAAGATGGGCTATCACACTAACTGCATACAATTATGAATTGAGATACAAACCTGGATCTGAGAATAGTGCAGATAGTCTTAGTAGATTACCTTTAAAAAACCAAAGCCTGAGCTATGTACCAGAAGATGTATTTGTTCTCTTCACTATCATGGATAACTCCAATATAAATGTGAATGATATTAAAAGAGAAACACAAAAAGATGAGTGCTTAATAAAAGTATATGAGTACTGTAAGAATGGTTGGCCTGAAGAGTCAGTGAATGAGGACTTAAAGCCATATAAAATAAGAAAAACAGAGTTAAGTCTAGAAGATGGATGTATACTATGGGGGTCAAGAGTAATTATCCCCAAAATGTTACAAAAAGAAGTTTTAAGAACTTTACATGATACTCATCTTGGTTCTTCCAAAATGAAGAGTCTAGCAAGATCATGGTTCTGGTGGCCACATATGGATGCTGATATTGAAAAATATGTAAAACTTTGTTCAAGCTGTGCACAACATTCAAATCAACCAGCTACAGCACCTTTGCAAAACTGGGACTGGCCAATTGAACCATGGAAACGTATACATATAGATTTCGCAGGACCTTTCATGAACAAAATGTTCTTAATTGTTATTGATTCACATTCTAAATGGTTAGAAGTTAAAATCATGAACACAATCACTGCAAATGATACCATTATAGAACTTAAGGAAATATTTTCAACTCATGGATTACCAGATCAAATTGTTTCAGATAATGGGCCTAGTTTCACAGCTCATGAGTTTAAACTGTTTTGTGTGGCAAATGGTATTGAGCATATAACCACATCCCCCTATCATCCTGCTGGGAATGGTTTAGCTGAAAGAGCGGTAGGCATATTCAAAACCGCTATGGTAAAAATGAATACCGGTAACAAGTTTTCTCTTAGAGAAAGAGTAAACAGGTTCTTAACCAAATACCGCACAACTCCTCATATAACAACAGGTGTTGCACCATGTGAATTGCTATGTGGTAGGAAAATTAAAACTCATCTTGACCTACTACATCCAACTGTTCAAAGGTCTGTTTCCCAACATCAACATACACAAAAAGTAAATCATGACAAATCATCCATTGAAAGAGAATTTGCAGTTAATGATAATGTGTATCTAAGAAATTATGGGAGAAAGGAAAAATGGATTCCAGGTCAAATTGTTCAATGTACAGGACCTGTGTTTTATAAAGTAAAAACAAATGATGGACTTATTGTCCGTAGACATGCAGACCAGTTAAAAATAACTTGTGCAGATAATAAGTGTGAATCTGTCAATCCCACCAAGTCTGATCAGTTCACACCAACTCAGTTTGTTCCACAACCAAGTTCTGTTGATATGAGTGAACCAAGTTGTCTGGAGTCAGAAAATGTAAATTCTGGAGTTAATGATTTAAATCCTAGACCTCCTGAGATAGAGAATCCAGATGGTCAGAATCTTGAGTCACCAAATCAAAAGCCACTGAGAAGGTCAAGCAGGACAATCAAAGCCCCAAATAAGTTAGACCTATGATTTTAAAGGTCAAAAGGACTTTGACATCATTGTTTTGTATCTTGATTATGTTGTGGCATATTGTGCATTGTTTGTAAGGATGTAATCTACCATAATGTTCATGTTACAATATAATTGGTGATTTTAGGATACTATCAATTGTTCTATTGAGAGATGTGTTATTGTGTTCTAAGGGTAAAGGGATGTAATAGATTGAAATAATTGTGAGGTCAAGGGAACTCACTCTTCTGTATTAGTTATATTTATAATATTGTTATCTTGAGTGATGTCCCTTGTGTACTTCCTTCCGTCCTCTCTGTGTGTTACCATCGTGATGTAGTTAGACCCAATAAACGTGTTATATACAACCACAGGCTTCTGTCGTCAATCCATTATAGCAACCATGCTCATTTGACATTTACAATAGCAGCCATCTTGTTTAAGTTCTTTCTTTGTTAACTTATAGCAGGAGATTCAGGGAAGGCAACTCTATTTTACAAATGGATGCTGTTTATATAGGAACTCCTGCTCGCAAACACTGCTGTTTAAAGTTAATTTCTTGCCTATATTGAATGATATATTTAGCTATTGATTTAGATTTATTATTCATTTATCTATAATATTTGACTCAAATATATCAAAATATACTTCTATTAATAAAGCCTTGACAATGACGTAACTTTTTCGTACATTACTAGATCTAGATCTAGCCGCGGGCGATTTTAGTATTTTTTACTAGACGTCTAGATCTAGATATCTAGATCTATAAAAATTTTAGGTACCCAAAACGATAGATAATACTAGATCTAATGGTAATCTATCGTTTTGGGTACGTAAAATCGCCCGCGACTAGCAATGTGAAAAACAGGTGACTCCTTACATTTTAAGAATTATTTCACATTTTGAGGAGGATTTATGTTTTGAAAAATACAAAAATGTTTCCTTGTTTCATTTATGTACCTGTTTTAAAACAATTGAATTAAAACTTTTCAGTAATAAATGAACACCAGCGATGTTTCCAACAGATGCAACCATGCTCATTTACTATAGCAGCCATCTTGTTAAAGTTTTATTTTTATAGACTTATAGCGAGATTCAGGCGGAAGTCACTCTATTTTACAAATGGCTGCTGTTTATATAGCAAATCTTGCTTGCAGACTCTGCTGTTTAAAGTTAATTTCTGGCCTATATTAATATATTTAGCCATTGATTTATGTTTATTATTCATTTACATTTATCTATAATATTTGACACAAACATATCACAATATACTTCTATTTTACAGCCTTGACAATGAGGTAACGTTTTCGTACATTAACAGCTGCGGGCGATTTACGTACCCAAAGCGATAGATTACCGATCTAATAGATATTAATATTAGTATTATTAGATAGATTACCATTACTTAGTACTTACCAATCATTTTATTTTATTTTGTTTCTTTTTTATTTTGTTAGCACATTAAATTAATAAATTTGATTCTGAATTATGCAAATTTTAAAATTAAACTTACTTTAATAAAAACTGCTATCTGTATAGATTCTAACAAGATCTAGATTAGATTCTAGATCTAGATCTAGATCTAGATTCAAGTGTTCTTTGGTTTTTGGTTTTTCAAATCGACAATCGCTCCAGAACTTCCAGGCTACTTGTGAAACTGAAAGGAAATAAGCGGGAAATCCCGCTACAACCCTAAATAACAAAAGGGACAGAACTGTCGCAGATTTCATTGTCTTAGAGGTTATCCATGGGTCCATGTGGACGTCTGAATGTTGAATTTAACATCAAAATACTTACATCAAACAAACTTTTTTTTAAATAATATATATATATATATATATATATATATATATATATATATATATATATATATATATATATATATATATATATATATAAAATAAAAGATAAAAAAAACTACATATCACATGTATTAGTTAAATCGACAGTTCTCGTGTCAAAAAACACTAGCTCAACGGGTGAATAAGAAGACAGCAGCAATTTGTTTTTACAAACTGGAGCAGTTGCTTATGGGCTGAGGGGGTTCAAATTTGTTCCATCATTATATATATATATATATATATATATATATATATATATATATATATATATATATATATATATTTATATTTATTTTTATATATATATATATATATATATATATATATATATATATATATATATATATATATATATATATATATATATATATATATATATATATATATCAGTGGCGTAGCGAGGTCGGGTGTCACCCGGTGCGGTACTTAATGGTGTCACCCCCCTAAATGGTGTCACCCGGTGCGGTCCGCACCCCCGCTACGCCCCTGATATATATATATATATATATATATATATATATATATATATATATATATATATATATATATATATATATATATATATATATATATATATGCTAGCTTTACGTCATTGCTCGCTATGATGTAAAATAAATTAAAAGTAGCACTCTGAAGAAATAAGAAAAATCCCACAATGCAGGCCGACTAAACAAAATGATGTGTCACTCTAAACAAAAAAAAAAGGTGATGTATCACTCTAAACAAAAAAATATACACACAATACGACCAAAAACAATGAACGCAACATAATCTGTTTTGTCATCCTTGTTAAAAATAACCAATGTTACATAATGATTCCTAGAATAATAATTAAGACAGACAAACATGGGGGAAATCATTCTCTTAATATAAATATCTATAATTCTACAAATTTAATTGTAAATGTCACAACAGACCAATAATTACTTTAGTATGTAATAAAGTAGCTAAACACTATTTGTATTTACAAAAATATGTTGTCTAAAATCAGAATTATACATATATATGTTGTCTCTATAAATGCTAACATTTTACAGCATAATGACAGTTTTTTAAATCAGAGTTGGTATAAAGTTATTACACTTACGCTTTGCAAACTTAGATGGAACATTCTAAATAATAGAATACATATAACTAAAATATCGGTCTTGCAATTCAGATAATTCATTTTTTAATTAGCTACTGGTTTTTTTTGCGTTCTTTAAAGATAATTTTTAACATTATGATAATGTATGGGTTAGATCACTGTATTGATCCCACACCTCTTTAGGGGGATCAACTTCATTCACTACTGTCCGGACACTCTAGGTCAATTATCCTACCAATACCTAGGTGTGATTTTAATCTCGCTCCACTCACAAGGCCTGTCCTGTTTTAGGTGGTGAGGTGGGGGGAGGGGAACCAACTCAGAGTTCTTTAAATACGTCCCCCTCCCCCCCCCCTCGAAGAGATGTCTGGAAGAAACTCTGATAATCCTAGACTACGGACACAGTCCACGAAAATTGCTTACTGTGGTGTTAGTTAAAACCTTTGATAATCACAGACAACGAACTCAGTCCAAAATGTTAACGAACACCAAACAATTATGTTACAACATGTGCATTAAAGCTAACTTCTTCAGACTATGGTTGTAGTGAACGAGTGAAGGGTGATGAATGGGGGGTGAATGTTGTTGTTACATGGTACCCTACTCCGTTCGTCCTTGTTCAGTTCTCGTGCCGTGAGTTGTAATAGTCCGGTTTGTACCAGTTTATGAAAGGGTATATAAGGTGTATGAAAACGTGTGTGATTACCTCAGTTTCGTCCAGATCTCCAAGGTTAGTATAGGTTAGGTCTATCTATACTAGTTTTTAGCCGCTGTATCATAGTTTTACTAGCTTGTGTGATTTGTGTTTAGAATAGACTGTGTTTTGTGTAGATAGTGTAGCTAATATTATTTTTTTTTTAGTCTCAACGAGCCTTTGTTTCATTCAGTCTTATTTTGTAACTCGTTTGTTGATGTTTTATAGATCTATGTTGCGCTACGCAACGGATCACTCGAAAGGCATGTCTGTGTTTACAATAATAGTTTAATATGTAGACCTATTTACAACGCTGTTTTTCATTAGTTCATTATCAACTGGGGTAATTCTCATTACGTTATGCATTACATTTTCCTTTGCACTAAATTAAATAAAATATTTTTTAGTATTGAATCAAATGCAGTTTCATCAAATTTATTTAGAACAATCTGAAAATGAATTAAGATTACCCCATGATCGAAATTAGGTCCTTGTCTGGAACTTTGATGAGTGGTGGACTGTGTGACATAGATTTGTGTAGTTTTCTTGTAAGAGACTAAATCATCTTTGAGAGCCATGTTAACAGGACGCCCTGTATCTTAACTGTACCTGCATGTTACAAGAAATGTTGGCTGTCTAGTATCTGCAAGCATCTGTATCTTAACTGTACCTGCATGTTACAATAAATGTTGACTGTCTGGTATCTGCAAGCACCTGTCTCAGTTGGACTGTTAACATCCATCTCTATGTCATCTTGTACTACCTTATTATTGTCCATCTATGTCATCTTGTACTACCTTATTATTGTCCATCTATGTCATCTTGTACTACCTTATTATTGTCCATCTATGTCATCTTGTACTACCCTATTATTGTCCATCTATGTCATCTTGTACTACCTTATTATTGTCCATCTATGTCATCTTGTACTACCTTATTATTGTCCATCTCTATGTCATCTTGTACTACCTTATTATTGTCCATCTATGTCATCTTGTACTACCTTATTATTGTCCATCTATGTCATCTTGTACTACCTTATTATTGTCCATCTATGTCATCTTGTACTACCTTATTATTGTCCATCTATGTCATCTTGTACTACCTTATTATTGTCCATCTATGTCATCTTGTACTACCTTATTATTGTCCATCTATGTCATCTTGTACTACCCTATTATTGTCCATCTATGTCATCTTGTACTACCTTATTATTGTCCATCTATGTCATCTTGTACTACCTTATTATTGTCCATCTATGTCATCTTGTACTACCTTATTATTGTCCATCTATGTCATCTTGTACTACCTTATTATTGTCCATCTATGTCATCTTGTACTACCTTATTATTGTCCATCTATGTCATCTTGTACTACCTTATTATTGTCCATCTCTATGTCATCTTGTACTACCTTATTATTGTCCATCTATGTCATCTTGTACTACCTTATTATTGTCCATCTATGTCATCTTGTACTACCTTATTATTGTCCATCTATGTCATCTTGTACTACCTTATTATTGTCCATCTATGTCATCTTGTACTATCTTATTATTGTCCATCTATGTCATCTTGTACTACCTTATTATTGTCCATCTATGTCATCTTGTACTACCTTATTATTGTCCATCTATGTCATCTTGTACTACCCTATTATTGTCCATCTATGTCATCTTGTACTACCTTATTATTGTCCATCTATGTCATCTTGTACTACCTTATTATTGTCCATCTATGTCATCTTGTACTACCTTATTATTGTCCATCTATGTCATCTTGTACTACCTTATTATTGTCCATCTATGTCATCTTGTACTACCTTATTATTGTCCATCTATGTCATCTTGTACTACCTTATTATTGTCCATCTATGTCATCTTGTACTACCTTATTATTGACCATCTATGTCATCTTGTACTACCTTATTATTGTCCATCTATGTCATTTTGTACTACCTTATTATTGCATGTTTTATTATTACTTTACACTCTAAGGGTAACATAATATGATTCAGTTAGCAAAACGTTATTGCAAATGACACATTTTTTCACTACTTGAATGCCGAGATACAACTAGTTAAGCTAGACCTAAATGTGGTGTAGTGTGGAGATAAAACTAGTTAAGCTAGACCTAAATGTGGTGTAGTGTGTAGATAAAACTAGTTAAGCTAGACCTAAATGTGGTGTAGTGTGGAGATACAACTAGTTAAGCTAGACTTAAATGTGGTGTAGTGTGGAGATACAACTAGTTAAGCTAGACCTGAATGTGGTGTAGTGTGGAGATACAACTAGTTAAGCTAGACCTAAATGTGGTGTAGTGTGTAGATAAAACTAGTTAAGCTAGACCTAAATGTGGTGTAGTGTGGAGATACAACTAGTTAAGCTAGACCTAAATGTGGTGTAGTGTGGAGATAAAACTAGTTAAGCTAGACTTAAATGTGGTGTAGTGTGGAGATACAACTAGTTAAGCTAGACCTGAATGTGGTGTAGTGTGGAGATACAACTAGTTAAGCTAGACTTAAATGTGGTGTAGTGTGGAGATACAACTAGTTAAGCTAGACCTAAATGTGTTGTAGTGTGGAGATAAAACTAGTTAAGCTAGACCTGAATGTGGTTAGAAGGAGATAAAACTAGTTAAGCTAGACCTAAATGTGGTGTAGTGTGGAGATAAAACTAGTTAAGCTAGACTTAAATGTGGTGTAGTGTGGAGATAAAACTAGTTAAGCTAGACTTAAATGTGGTGTAGTGTGGAGATACAACTAGTTAAGCTAGACTTAAATGTGGTGTAGTGTGGAGATACAACTAGTTAAGCTAGACCTAAATGTGGTGTAGTGTGGAGATACAACTAGTTAAGCTAGACCTAAATGTGGTGTAGTGTGGAGATACAACTAGTTAAGCTAGACTTAAATGTGGTGTAGTGTGGAGATAAAACTAGTTAAGCTAGACTTAAATGTGGTGTAGTGTGGAGATACAACTAGTTAAGCTAGACCTAAATGTGGTGTAGTGTGGAGATACAACTAGTTAAGCTAGACCTAAATGTGGTGTAAGTTTGGAGGAGCGCTTTAAATTTCTGGAGGGGGCTTTTAGAAATTATTTCTTTTATTGCCAGGCCCCATATTTACTAATCTGTGATGCACAGTTAAAAATGTCGCCATCCACACTTGCACACTTTTGTATGCTAACTCTTCTTCTTCTTCGTTCTTTATTTTAAGTGTTGGAAGGGATCGAGCCTTTATCTGCCAGAGGGTTTGAACTCGAGACTTTTTCGAATTTAACAACCATGAGCTTTGCCGACTCGACCACGCCTCCATCACAATTAATGATACGTGTCAATTAGTTATGCGCCATTGAAAATCCGCTTCAGCCTGCTTCCATAGCCCTTGTCCAACCAAGAACAAACTACAAGGCAGCAGTTGTTTGATTTTGGAGTTGTCCCTCCTAGATGAGGGGCTGTCCTCAGCTAACGAGCCTCATCTGCCCGATGGTTCGAACTCGATACTTTTCGGTTTAGCAACCATGAGCTTTACCGACTCGACCACGCCGACCCCTAACAAAACATGCAGACTTATATTATGCTGTCCTCACTTAATACATTTCATATGCTACCCACACGTGTATAAGCTCTCCACATTTACTGACGAATCCTATTGCCCTAAGTTTTGAAATGTTGGCTGTGGTGTTACCCCCCCCCCCCCCCCCCCTTCTCCAATGGCACAGAACAAGTATGTGGGTAGAGTCGGAAATCTAGGAACATTGTAATCGATGAGTGACAGTACATTGTGTATAAAGGGCAGTTTTACTTTTTTGTCTTTTTCTATATATTTTAATAACATCGCTTAGTAGTAATTGCGTTAAAATAGTTCCGATACCCAAAGTTTCGCCCTAGAATGTGGATAATATTACTTTAATATCTGTGATGGATGTGTGTGCTAGTGTGTGTGGGTGTGTGTATGTGGGCGTGTGTATGTGTGCGTGTGAACTCTAATCAATTATTTGTGATATGGATGTTGTTAGACACATGTAAAATATCAAATAATGTACTCGCGCGTCATGTACTCAACACGACTGTAAGCCTGTCATAGTATTTACAAACAGAAAAATAATGAAAAAAAAAACAGAAGGACAACTGTATAAAATTGCAATCATTCATTTTTATTTATATCAAAAGAGAAGTGTAAAGTTGATAAAATAATTGTGGCGTTTTTTAAATAAAAATGTTTGATGTTCATGTAAATATTTTTGTTCTATGATGTAATTTTCCAAAAGAGTTGATGTGAATTATCTAGGTATATTATGCTAACCAAGGAGCATACACTACTTAGCTTGGTCCTCGGACATATGTTCAGGTTGAGGCGTGTGTTTATCACCTTCGGCTTCGATGGACATCAGCTCAGCAAGCAACGAATTTCTTCGGCTTAATAAGATTGCCACGTAGATTCCTGCTGTAAAAAACAATTAAGACAACAAAAAATAATGTATAATATAGTCTTGGATTATGTAAACTAATATTTTAATTATACAAGTGAAATATGACTTACCACAGAAAATGAAAGTGAAGTAGACGCTTAGGCCAATTACAACAGTGGTTCTTGAGAGGCAAATCTCGGAGGGGCCACAGGTTTGTTGGCAGTTATTTTCCTGCTGACGTTTTTCTATTTCCTCCCTTAACGGACGTGTGTATTGTTCAAACAACTCTGGGTACTCTGCTTTATATCTTTCACACTGATCGTCCGTTGGTGGAACTTCTGCGGCGGTTGTTGTTGAAGTTGAAGAAAATAAAACTAGGACTAAAAAAATCTGGAATATAAATATTAAACGTTAGCCAGCCAGCCAGCCACCCAACGTCCACGCCATCTACACACCCAACCTCCTACATTACCTCCCAGTCACCCACCCACCTAACTTTCCACCCACCACCCATTCACCCCATTCATTCTATCCGCCCATCCGTCCGTTCATCCATTCATCCGTTCATCCATTTGTCCGTCCATCCGTCCGTCTATTCGTCCACCCGTCCATTCGTCCATCCGTCCATTCGTCCGTCCATCCGTCTATCCGTCCACCGTCCACCCGTCCGTCAATTCGTCCATCCGTCCATTCGTCCGTCCGTCCGCCCATCAGTCCGTCCGTCCGTCCGTCCATCAGTCCGTCCATCCGTCCATCCGTCCATTCGTCCGTCCGTCCGTTCGTCCGTACGTCCGTCCATCCGTCCATTCGTCGGTCCACCCGTCCATTCGTCCGTCCGTCCGTCCATCCATCCGTCCGTCCATTCGTCCGTCCATCCGTCCATTCGTCCGACCGTCCGTCCATCAGTCCGTTCGTCCATTCGTCCGACCGTCCGTCCATCAGTCCGTCCATTCGCCCGTCCATCCGTCCATTCGTCCGTCCGTCCGTCCATCAGTCCGTCCGTCCATTCGTCCGACCGTCCGTCCATCAGTCCGTCCGTCCATCCGTCCATCCGTCCGTCCATTCGTCCATCAGTCCGTCCGTCAGTCTGTCCATCCGTCCATTCGTCCGTCCATCCGTCCATTCGTCCGTCCGTCCGTCCATCAGTCCGTCCGTCCATCCGTCCATCCGTCCGTCCATTCGTCCATCAGTCCGTCCGTCAGTCTGTCCATCCGTCCATTCGTCCATCAGTCCGTCCGTCCATCCGTCCATTCGTCCGTCCATCAATCCATCCGTCCGTCCATCCATTCGTTCAACCAACCATCTATGAATTGCATGCATACCTTCAAAACTTTGTTTTGGCTCCATGGAAGAAACAAAATGCCCAAGGGCCATGCTATGAGACATTACAGGTCAAATGTAAATGGCAAGCAAGTAAAGCACAACCATAAATATGTATATGTTATTGTATATATAAATGTCAATGTATATTGTACGTTTACTTGTCCCTATATATATATATATATATATATATATATATATATATATATATATATATATATATATATATTGATTTATTATATTTAACTGATGTTTATATAGTGCTATGAATAAACAGACAGTGTATATTTATAGTACCTTTTATAATCTCTCTTTCTTCATCAACAAAACCATCGCAGTCGTTATCTAACCCATCGTTGATGCGAGTAATTGATCCCTCAGAGTTCTGTAAAAAAATGTAAATTGATCTGTAACCGTGTATCGAATATTCTGTCGGTAACGGCTCAATCTACATACGGTCAAGTGTTTGTGCCAGAATCTCTACAGTGGGAGCTAATAACTGACACACATCCAATTAAAAGATATTCTAATTGTATTAATTAAATACACAACTCTAGATACTTATAATCACTCTACTTCTACTATGACACTTACATCCTAGCTAGTCTATGCTAGTCTACTTCAGCTATCTAGTCACGATATTTATGCCTAACTGCTTACATACCTGATGTATGTTCACACGCTTGACCGACCACACCCCCCCCCACTAACACTAGTGTTGATCAGCTGACCATCACATGTGACCTTTCTAATTTGTCGGGCAATTTGATTGGTACTGCTTGACCAATGCCTAACTGACCTATAATATTATACCTCTCTTCTGTCTTGGATTATTTTGAGTAATGCCTAGCTCGCGTCATTAAAGTCTGCTATTGTTTATTTATTTTCTTTTTTTTTCACTCTTACATGCAAATTGAGCTTTCTATGTTACATATAAGCAGAGCTTTCTCTCTTACATGTAATCAGAGCGTTCTATCTTACATACAAACAGAGCTTTCTATCTTACATGCAAGCAGAGCTTTCAATCTTACATACAAACAGAGCTTTCTATCTTACATGCAAGCAGAGCTTTCTATCTTACATGCAAGCAGAGCTTTCTGTCTTACATGCAAGCAGAGCTTTCTATCTTACATGTAATCAGAGCGTTCTATCTTACATACAAACAGAGCTTTCTATCTTACATACAACAATAGCTTTCTATATTACATACAAGCAGAGCTTTTTATCTTACATGCAATCAGAGCTTTCTATCTTACATGCAAGCAGAGCTTTCTATCTTACATACAAGCAGAGCTTTCTATCTTACATACAACCATAGCTTTCTATCTTACATACAAGCAGAGCTTTTTATCTTACATGTAATCAGAGCTTTCTATCTTACATACAAGCAGAGCTTTCTATCTTACATACAACCATAGCTTTCTATCTTACATACAAGCAGAGCTTTTTATCTTACATGTAATCAGAGCTTTCTATCTTACATACAACCATAGCTTTCTTATCTTACATGCAATCAGAGCTTTCTATCTTACATACAATCAGAGCTTTCTATCTTACACACAAGCAGATTCTGTTTAAACCTGTATTTAAATCACGAGGACAACAACAGGATAATGAATACAACATCTTTCTTCATCCCGCTAAATTTAGCTCCCATCCACCCACCCTAAACGTAGCTCTATTCTTGTTTTCTCTCTCTGGCTTAGGGTGGTCACTACTACAAACACGTCGAGGTGACTGATATTTATAAAAAAGACAAAATGTATAATGACTACAAAGACAAAATACATATTTATAAAGACGACAAAATACATGATATTTACAAAATCGACAAAATACATATTTACAAAAACGACAAAAAGCATGACATTTACAAAAACGACAAAATACATGATAGTTACAAAGACGACAAGTTAATGCATATATTAAAGATTAAATCGACATAAGATGAAGACAGCAAACAGGCTTATATGATAAAGACAGAAAATAGGCTTATAAGATAAAGACAGTAAATACACTTTGAAGATAAAGACTGCTAATAGCTTATAATATAAAGAAAGCAAATAGGCTTATAAGATAACGACAGCAAATAGATTTATAAGATAACGACAGCAAATAGTCTTATAAGATAACAACAGCATATAGGCTTATAAGATAACGACAGCAAAAAGGCTTATAAGATAACAAAAGCAAATAGGCTTCTATGAGCGAGAGGACAAAATAGATAATATACTAAAGAAGAACAATAGAAATAAAGGCGAGCGCTACAGGGCGAACATGGGAGCAAATATTGAGAGCTGCCCAAAACCAAGTCATGTGGGGAAGTTGTCTGCAGCCCAGTGGCGTAAGCAGGGGGGTCATAGCCCCCACATAGACCCCTTGGTATATATATAAAGCATGAGGGGGGTGCAAATCGAAAGTTTGAGGGGGGAGGGTGCAAATCGAAAGTTTGAGGGGGGTGCAAATCGTAAAAATTTGAACCCCCCCCCATGAGACAATCCTGGCTACGCTACTACTGCAGCCCTTTGTTCCTGGGGGGGGGGGTCTAGAGAGAATTAGTAGAAGAAAGTTTAAGGAAACCAAGAGAACTGAAAAGGTATAAATACAACCAAATCTTTTTAGTGTTTTGACAAAAAACGACCAGATGACGTAAATGACAAAGAAAACGGACTGATATAAATATTTTGACAAATTTGTTTATATAACAAAGGCGACAATATAAAATCAATACATCTTTAGAAAGCCGACAAAGCACGTTGATGATTTAATGAAGCCTGCGGAATATAATTGTTTTTCGCATTGATAATCGATGGTAACCGGTAGGAGTCCAATGAAGTAAGTGATGCAGGAATACTTTTACCCCAGTGAAGTCAGTAATACAAAAGCCTGCGGATACTCACCAGTGCTGGGTTGGCTCAGCGTGTCTTGTAGACAAGCCAGATACCAATTAGTGCTGGATTAACTCAGATCAGAGCGTCTTACAGACATGCCAGATACTCTTAGGTGCTGGGTTAGCTCAGCGCGATTATAGACATACCTGATACTCTTTAGAGCTGGGTTGGCTCAGAGCATCTTATAGACATTCCAGATACTGGATTGGCTCAGCTCAGATCGTCTCATAGACATGCCAGCTACTCATTAGAGCTGGGTTGGCTCAGCGTGTCTTATAGACATGCCAGATACTCAAGCTCAACAACTCACCTATTGAATGTAGTGAAGCTGAACAACATACCTAGTTAATTTAGTGACGCTCAACAACCCACCTGACGAGTGTAAGGAAGCTCAACAACTCACCTCCAAAACACGTCCAACAGCAACGTTTATCACCTGTGTTTCTTCGTTAATAGTAACAGGTATAACAAACTGTTTTTCCCCAGTTCTTGAGGGGATAAGCATTTCTGAAACATCAGTTAAATAAGTAATTTTAATTTTATATATATATATATATATATATATATATATATATATATATATATATATATATATATATAAATAAATGTGTGTGTATGTGTGTGTATATTTGTGTATGTTACCTGCCGTTACGCCGCCAGCGGTCTTGACATTCTTTCTCTGACATTCTGATTCAAATTCGTATTCTTCGCAAGTGCCAACAATAACGCCAAACGAATACAACGCTGTTATTTTAGCTGGTGTGATTGCTAAGAAGAAAGTAGGTCAACTTTGTTAGTTGTCTGGGGTATGACTGTCCACGAGGTAAAAAAAAATGCACATCTCATCATAGATCTAGTAAGATTACTACACATAGATGCACAACAAGAACAATCTGCTGCTGTAGTCGTGTTTATCAATGTCACGTAATGAAATATTACAGCGACGTACGCTAATCTCATTCGCGAACAAAAATGTCCGTAACAGGAACAATTAAAAGTAAGCTAAATCAAATCACAATCTTGCACACAAAAATAAGTAAATAAGTCATTTGCCTGCATTACACCTACATTTTACACATTGTACTCACACTACCATCAAAGAATTAAAGTTCCCGTGAAGTACTCACCTCCGAGATGCTTCTCTCCGACTGTTCTTCTAGTACAGTTCTGCATGATGTACGCCTCCTTCCTGGTTGGGAAATTCAAATTTCAATCTTTTATCCCGAGTTTTAAAAAACGACACAAATAATTTCAGATTGATAACTACTTAATCAATAACAACTGACTACACAATCTTAAATGGGTCAACATTTGTCAAAACATTTAAAGAAAGAAAGGTTGAGCGGACTAGTTGTAATACATTTAATCAAATCGTCTGGTTTTAATACAGATTTGAATTAAGTTTAAAAGTTTTAAATTAAAACACCAATATTTTTTTTTCAAATCGTGATTAGATTAAAATATAGAATCTAACTAATCCAAGCGATCTGATCTAGAGCTCTACAAATGGCCGAGAAAATGACTCGTGATTAGATTAAACTATAGAATCTAACTAATCCAAGCGATCTGATCTAGAGCTCTACAAATGGCCGAGAAAATGACTCGTGATTAGATTAAACTATAGAATCTAACTAATCCAAGCGATCTGATCTAGAGCTCTACAAATGGCCGAGAAAATGACTCGTGATTAGATTAAACTATAGAATCTAACTAATCCAAGCGATCTGATCTAGAGCTCTACAAATGGCCGAGAAAATAAATCGCGTCACTCAAGTATATTCTGCTGACTTGGACAACTTTTAACTTTGAGATCAAGAATGTAGCAGTAGACACGAAAGTTAGCTACCCACCTATTGGGTAGACACCAAAGTTAGCTACCCAATTATTGGGTAGGAAACAAAGTTAGCTACCCACCTATTGAGTGTGATAGTGGAGAGTAATGCATCAGTGAATTTGCTTTCTAGCTGCTCCATGGGTTCAGTAAATCGTACGCTGATTTCATTTTCCTCAACTAAAGAAATGAGTACAATCGAGGGCCCCGTCCTGTTAGAAATGAACACCAGTTAACGTTGTCGTAAATCATTTGAGTTTGCGATACAGAATGGGGATGGTAGGGTGTGAAACGTAGGGGTGGGGATGTCAGGGTATAAAACATGAGGAGGTAGGGATTTTAAGGTCTGTAGAGTAGAGGCGACCATATCACGGTATGAATTGGCCATGTATCAATGTAACAGACGAATTTTTTTATCTGGGTTTATTCAGACAACTTTAAACTTCGGTCTGATTTTTTTTATTGATATAAAGTTTAATTTTTTAAAACAATATTATACTACAGAATTGTTTTAAGAATAGTGAGAAACATTTTATTGGTACGAGAACCTTTACACATATGTTCTCTGACCATAGTGGCTTTACACATATGTTCTCTGACCATAGTGGCTTTACACATATTTTCTCTGACCATAGTGGTTTTGATCATTAGTGCCTTGACCATAGTGGCTTTGATCATTAGTGCCTTGACCATAGTGGCTTTGATCATTAGTGCCTTGACCATAGTGGCTTTGATCATTAGTGCCTTGACCATAGTGGCTTTGATCATTGGAACTTTGATTATTCATCACGCATAGATTCAAGTCATCACTGGTTATATTGTTCGCAAGGTTTTTTATCGTTAATAAACGTTAAGAAACGTTAAGAAAAGTATTAATTGTATTTAAGAATTATTCCCTACGATAACCGAACACAAGAAGGTGCTGACTTTTCTTTTTTAGAATTATTATTTAAGGTAACAAATTAATGAAATTGATTACTTTAGTGTGACGAAACAAAGCAAGACTTACTTTGGTACCAGAACAAATTATTGTGTGACGAAACAAAACAAGACTTACTTTGGTGCCAGAACAAATTATTGTGTGACGAAACAAAACAAGACTTACTTTGGTACCAGAACAAATTATTGTGTGACGAAACAAAATAAGACTTACTTTGGTACCAGAACAAATTATTGTGTGACGAAACAAAACAAGACTTACTTTGGTGCCAGAACAAATTATTGTGTGACGAAACAAAACAAGACTTACTTTGGTGCCAGAACATAGTACTCCGCGCCGAAACCGGAAGTTGGTATGGCCTGGAAACTAGCAGCCGAGTGGAACGACACCGGCATAAACACCGTCATCCCAAACTGGAACTTTCCTTTGGCGACAATAGACGTGGTGGTGTCACTTCTTGATATCCTCTCAGAAACGGGGTGGTCCGATAGTGGAGCGGTGACATAAACATCAAACGTGTCGAGCATGGGTGAGTTCATCATAAGAATGGGTTGGCCTTCAGGCATGTATGGGAACTGTACCTGAAATTCTACTCCCATCTGTGAAGCTTGCCCTGTAGTGGGGGAAAATGTGGAGCTTGTGAACGTATCATATTTGAACTATTTTTAGTTATAGTTTATTCACTATCATTGGCCAACGCTGCAGCTGAGATCTATAATTCCTTGATCTGTTAGAAACTCAAAACTAGCGAACATTAGAGAATATAGGATGGAATCTACTGTGGAAATTCAGCGAGTAACGACAGACATACAAACACACACACACATACATAAACACACAAACCACACACACACACACGCACACACACATATATATATATATATATATATATATATATATATATATATATATATATATCAATACAAATGCACATTATACACACGCAATCAGGCAGACCGATGCGACAGAACAATACGCTCTCATTTGCCATTATTAATATTCGTTGGACCGTGTTAAGTAAGCTCTTGAGGTCTGCATTGTTTACGGCCACTAATGTTTGTTTGACCAATCCATTAATATTCGTTGGACCGTGTTGAGTTAACTCTTGAGGTCTGCATTGTTTACGGCCACTAATGTTTGTTTGACCAATCCATTAATATTAGTTGGGCCGTGTTAAGTAAACTCTTGAGGTCTGCATTGTTTACGGCCACTAATGTTTGTTTGACCAATCCATTAATATTAGTTGGACCGTGTTAAGTAAACTATTGAGGTCTGCGGTATTTACGGCTACTAATGTTTGTTTGACCAATCCATTAATATTAGTTGGACCGTGTTTAGTAAACTCTTGAGGTCTGCATTGTTTACGGCCACTAATGTTTGTTTGACCAATCCATTAATATTAGTTGGGCCGTGTTTAGCAAACTCTTGAGGTCTGCATTGTTTACGGCCACTAATGTTTGTTTGACCAATCCATTAATATTAGTTGGACCGTGTTTAGCAAACTCTTGAGGTCTGCATTGTTTACGGCCACTAATGTTTGTTTGACCAATCCATTAATATTAGTTGGACCGTGTTTAGCAAACTCTTGAGGTCTGCATTGTTTACGGCCACTAATGTTTGTTTGACCAATCCATTAATATTAGTTGGACCGTGTTGAGTGAACTCTTGAGGTCTGCATTGTTTACGGCCACTAATGTTTGTTTGACCAATCCATTAATATTAGTTGGACCGTTTTGAGTGAACTCTTGAGGTCTGCATTGTTTACGGCCACTAATGTTTGTTTGACCAATCCATTAATATTAGTTGGACCGTGTTGAGTAAACTCTTGAGGTCTGCATTGTTTACGGCCACTAATGTTTGTTTGACCAATCCATTAATATTAGTTGGACCGTGTTGAGTAAACTCTTGAGGTCTGCATTGTTTACGGCCACTAATGTTTGTTTGACCAATCCATTAATATTAGTTGGGCCGTGTTTAGCAAACTCTTGAGGTCTGCATTGTTTGCGGCCACTAATGTTTGTTTGACCTTTCCATTAATATTAGTTGGGCCGTGTTTAGCAAACTCTTGAGGTCTGCATTGTTTACGGCCACTAATGTTTGTTTGACCAATCCATTAATATTAGTTGGACCGTGTTGAGTAAACTCTTGAGGTCTGCATTGTTTGCGGCCACTAATGTTTGTTTGACCAATCCATTAATATTAGTTGGGTCGTGTTAAGTAAACTCTTGAGGTCTGCATTGTTTACGGCTACTAATGTTTGTTTGACCAATATTCAAGTGCATCTGTGCTTTAGTTGTTAAGTCATTTAGGTTATGGCGAAAGGGTTATGGTGCTTATTTGTTACGATATTAGGTCAGTTTTACATATAGAATCTACCAAAGTACGGATTCTAGGTTGATGCTAACTGCAAACCGGATGTGCCGATTTCTAATGTCTACAAAGACTTAGATTTATGGGTCTAGAGTCCCGACAGATTTACCTTCAACCTTCGAGATTAATCCCAAGCACACAAGAGCTAAAATGGTGATCATCCTTGAAAAATGTGTAGGAGCCATAAAAATGCTTGCTTGTATGCTCTATGTACACAATAAATGATTAGCCTTCACACGCTGGTACAAAACTTCAGGAAACATATGGGCAACATATTTAGGTGCTGAAGGTTGCACATGGATATCAGTATCCAAGCAGGGTGGGTCTGTTCAAAGCTCGTGTAAACCAGCGCCTAGTGAGTTTCTGTTTTTTCTGTTAGCTTTTGCGCACCAAGTCTTTAATGTATTGTTTCGGAGTTTTTTTCACGCCGCAGTCAATGACGTCATTAGTTGAAGAATTTCGAGAAAAGAAAATAATACTTGGTTTGATTATATATAAAATTTAAAAAAAACCAGGAGTGATCTCCCCTAAACTTTCTCGAATATTTGTATATAACACTACGGAGTAAGGCAACTCGTGATATAGACATGATTTTAATCAATTTTTAATTACTTAGACTTTTCAAAATAGAATAGAATCTCGTAGAAAAAAGAATTGCCCACCAAGTAAAAAGGGGCATGTGATGAAGGGGGTGTGGGGGGAGGGGGGAAATATGCTGTTACGTAGGCAAGTCTTCCATCATCGTTTTGTATGAGCTGGTTTAGTTGTATAGAATGAGAGTGCGTGTTATTGTCTGGGTTTAGAAAGGAATTTAAGAATAACTGGTTAATGAGGGGTGTTTGTAGTACATATTTCAATCGCATAAGTAACATTCATCTTTATTTATTTTGGTAATACATCATCATCATCAGTATATAGTATAGTATTTCAACACAAGGGGTGGGGTCATGCGGACGAAGGAGATGCAGATATGGGGGCAATATGATATGGGGTTCCTGGGTTGCGGGGGCGGGGAGGGTGTGATGAAAAGGGAGGTGTCGGTTAGGATTGGGCGGGCCAGGCGACCAGAGCAAAGTGATATGTTCTTCACGTTGTGGTGTTGCTAATTAAGGTATATGTATTTCAGTGGCGTAGCGAGGTCGGGTGTCATCCGGTGCAACACTTAATGGTGTCACCCCCCAGAGGCGTAGCGACCCTTCCCGGGGACAAACTTTCAATTTTCGATTTGCACCCCCGCCTCAAACTTTCGATTTGCACCACTTAAAAGACTATTTGACACTCGAATTAATCACTTAATTAAGTGGAATTATCATTTTCCTCTATATATTTTGCTATTTTTTGCCTTGGTGTCATCCTACTAAATGGTGTCACCCGGTGCGGTCCGCACCCCGCCCCCCCCCCCCCCCCACCCACCGCGCGCTACACCTCTGATGTATTTGAATACTGTCGTTGTCAAGTCGTCTACGATAAATCTGTCCCAAGAACTGTACCTTGTCGTGTCTTGCTCTTATTCTACTGTTCCAGATAGTCTGTCTATATATAGATAACGGCCTTGCTTTTTGCTCTAGGTCCGTCGTTTCTCTTTATTTAGGGATTTTTGTATAGAATTATATATGTCAATATTGAAGGTCTCGTTTCTTGTCGTTATTTTGGTTTCTAACGTCTTTTTCATATTTTCTATGGTGAGGCGTTCTAAATACATGTGTGTTTTGTCTGCATAGTGGGCAATAATGTTTCTGTTGTTTTGCTAGGGGTGTTAAATTGTAGATGAGTCTGTATGTTATTTCCCTGGCTTTGGGTGTTAAATTGTAGATGAGTCTGTATGTTATTTCCCTGGCTTTGGGTGTGATGGTTTTGAGGTGAAGCTTCCTAAAGGCGTCTATTGTGTCTGTTAGAGCGTATTTCCTACACCATTGGATATGTTGTATAATGGGGTTGAGAGTTTTGTTTTGTAACTGTTTGCAAATGTTTTGTGATTTTTCGTGTACAAGTTTTTCGCTGTTTTTTAACATTTTTAAGCAGACGCGTGGCGAGGACGGGGCAGGGGGGGGGGGGGTGTGGAGAGCACCATATAACATCATTTAAGGGGGTGACACCAAGCCTAAATATTGCAAAATGTACAGAAGAAAAATACCTTTTTACCAGATCCATTGGGGGGGGGGGGGGTGTGACACCATGACCTAAACGTGTTAACTATACAGAAACTATACTACATCCAACTGTATTATATATATATATATATATATATATATATATATATATATATATATATATATATATATATATATATATATATCAGCCGACACACACACGTATAACGGGTCAGTCTTCTGTGTTGGTTATTGATGTCATGATAAGTGTGATTCGTTTTTGCCCTTTGTCGACTTGGAGTGTTTAGTTTTTTTTTATTTTATTTTTTTTTATTTTTATTATGTGTTTGTTTTTTATTGAAAAAAATTAACGAGAAGTATTATCATAAATCATTGATCTACCAAAATCAGTTATATTATTAATACTTTTTGTTTATAGCAATATATACATCTGTATTTAATTTGAATAAATATACATATATATAAGAAAATTAAATACAGTTATATACAATTTGTATTTTAACTTTGTACGTACAAATTATTATATTGTGAAAAAATATTTATGAAATTATTTATTTTTTTGTTCGTTAAATGGATTTCTATCTATTTTAATATATTTTAGCAGATTTTGCGAGTAGTTTCCCTTTTAAAATTGTGTTCATATTGTTTTGAAAAATGGGGACAATTCTAAAAACATATTATTTTTTTGTATTGGTGTAGCAAAGACTATCAGCAACTGGTGGAACTTTCATTCGGCCAGAACCCGCTATATAGGGGTGGGGGTGGAGGGGGAGAGCCAGGCCGTTTGGGGGAACCAAAATCCGAGAAAAACCACATCATATGTACTACGATGGTGATCGATCTAATGTAACTACCATACAGAGTTGCATAGACAATAAATCTACATAAGCTGTGACAGTTAGATAAACCTCAAGACACTTCCATGTGCCCTTCTTAAATTAATCTTAAATTAATCCAATAGAGGTGCCTAAAAAGCTCGTTTTAATAATTTTGTACTAAGAAAATTAAAAAGCGATTTCTTCTCGTAATTATAATGAAAATAAGGTTTATTATGTAGTATAGCTAATCTGTTTCAATAGCCCGTACATTGTTGGCCAGCATAATGCCCAGTCGCATCATCACAAAGGTTGCACAAAACCACATCTATTAATTATTAAATTTCTGAATTAAAATTATTTTAACTTGAATTCGTAGAAAACAATATGAAGAAGTTAACGAAATACTATAAGACACTTGGTGTGTTATGTTTAATTACATCTTGTTCAATGTGCTTTTATTCGTTCTATGTATAGTTTTCTAAAATATGTTTTGTATTCAAAATATATTTTGTGGGGTTGTTCTAGTTTATATTTACTATACAATAGAGGTACAAAATTGTGATTATTATTGAGTTTGTTTAAAAAATTGCAATTAGTTGCTTTCTTTTGTTGACATGTAATCGGGTATCGTGTATTTATTAATGACATAACGAGACAACATTCTATAGTCTACAGTTGTGTTTAAAAATGGCTGCGGTTTCATAATCATTTCTTATTCAATTATTTATAAACATTTGTTTTTATTTTAAGTTTGAAACTCAGCTAAATGATTTTTGTAAACTATCATCAAATTTTAAGGCATCTTGAGTAAGAACTTAATCCGAATATCTTACTAATATATATATATATATATATATATATATATATATATATATATATATATATATATATATATATAAACACTTTATAAACCCATTTATGAAGATATTTATAAAGACACTTATAAATACATTCATTAAACAAATGTATATTGGTTTTTCAGCTATAGTCTCACATTACACAATGTATTTTTCACTCATACGTTGTAAGCTATAAAAAGAATAGCGGAAGACACAGTAATAATAAAACTTCGCATTTGCTTTTTTAAAATTTAAAAATAAGGAACACATACTTTTCAATGAATTTTTAATAGTGCAACACATTTTAATCTTACTGAGACTTTCTCTTAATCAAAGAAAAAGTTATATTACGCCGTAGGCCTACTAATTAAAATAAATAAGATCTGGAAATTCTTATTTTCAGCAATAGAGAAATAAATGTTATAAATACTAGTTAAAAAACTTAGCGATAACAAATCGTACGTGGTATATATTGAATTACAAAACGTATAAAAAAATAACATGCCTGATACAAAAAAAAATTATTGATTGTAAGACCATTTAACAAATTTAATATCATCCAAATAGTAGTACGTTAAATGGGGTTTAAATTATCTTAGGGACATTTTACTACGAACGTTTTTATATACATATTTTATGGCAATACAAGCCAAGTAAATTTTATTAATAGCAGACCTAAAATGTTTTGAATGTGCTAGTGTGTATATACATGCAGAACGTTAAGTTATAAATATAAATAAAGTGTCTTAGATCAAATTAAATGCTAAAATCCTTCTTTAAAAAAAAAACATTTTTGAGTAGATTTGGCTAGAGAAAATTTAAAAGCTTCAATTTTGTTCAAGAAAATGATTTTAGAAAAAAGTAATAATATAGTTTTGCCATTTATGTTATACATATAAGATAAGAGCTGCATTATAATATTGTCATGTTTTACAAAAGTTATAGCTTATAACTCGGTATAAAAAAATAATTGCTTTCGCAAACAACTAATAAATGTGAATATTTCAGATCATTGATGTATAATGTAACATTCTTAGAAGATGGTCAGTTATCTAGATACATAAACATGTTCTGGAATTATGATTTACGTCTGAAGTTAAGAAGGGAAAAAATGTTTGAAGTTTAATACTTAGTGTTTTGATACAGACATGCCATTTTAAAATCTTTAATTAATTATCTGCAGAAGCTGTACAAACTTAAACTGAATAATTACATATATACAGATTATCAACATATTATCAACATATTATCAACATATTATCAACATATTTCAAGAAACTGCTCCCATTTTCGCACAAATGCTGTCTACGATAATTGGTACTGAGTTTTGAGAAAAACGTGTATGTGTTTGTTAATGAGGGGGTGAGGTGGTGGTAAGGTCAGGTCAGGTCAAATGTAAACCACAATATAATCTCTAGAAAGTGACTATTAAAGCTCATCAACAAGATGGTTGAAATGGTATTGATTGATTCATAAAATATGAAACACTACTAGATATCAAGTTAGCTAATCCATCAGACATAGCTCTACTAATCACAATGTAAAAATCGATGTCATTCTAAGGTTAGATTTTTAAACATATAGTGTACAATATCAATAAGGCACAAAATTCACAATGCTACTACATTCAAAATTGAAGATAGTAGTACAGTAACAATAAGTAAAAAAGATCAAAGAATTGAATTACACTTCGGTGGAATAGAAATCACACCATTGTAAACAGGGCAGTAACCACATTATGAAGGCACTAAGTAGTTCAATCACCTGGCAATGTCAACGTTTACTTTTGAAATTAATAAATGTCCATGCATCTTTAAGTTAAGTTGTGGGGATTAGTATATAAAGCTAATCTAAATAAACGGAACATATAATGTAGCAATGACATTGATACAATATAAAGCTAACAAACAGGATGGAATTTTCTGAAGAGTAGAAATGTTGATGAAGATTCTTTTAATAATAAAAGAGTTCCAATATGTCATTAAAATGTTTTCTGATTGAATATACGGAGAAATTAAATGACATAAATAAACGAATATTTTATATACAAATGTTGAGGATGGCAACTGTAAAAATGTGAATACAAAATGCACCAGTAAGAAAAGTTTATCTTGAAAAGTTTTATCATCAACGCAAGAACTTAATTATTTTCAAATCTAATGAACATCAGTTTGTGAGGGTAGGTTGGTATATTTTCTACATATAAACAACAAAACTTCTATCTATAGGATACATCATATGTTACATTTTAAACATTAAGTCGTAAATGAAAATACATATTTTGGTATTCGACGTCATGAAGTAGTAGATTTGAGCAATTCTACACATAGTTTTTTAACAAACATGAACTCATTCAGAACACATTGGGTCTAAAAAATAATTGTGTGTTGTTTTTCGACACCTTCTATGATCTATTTCATACAAGATAAAGTTTCAACCTAACAAAATCATATTACAAGAAGTTAATTCACAAAATAAAATGGATGACATCTAGGCTTCCCAGATACGTGTTTGTTTCTCGCGTCTCTTTCAAACTGCGCAGAATTTCTCTTCAGGTAAACTTTTTCCATTGCCTTTTTACCTTTTAAAAAAGATTGTCAAGAATAATATATTGCAGAAAATTAAAAGTGTCAACGATATGTTTACATCATCAGCTAAAGAGACTTCAAGGTTATACACAATTACAGTAAATGTTTAGTTTTCGCAACACTTAGTCAATTCTACAGTACCCATTAAACAATAAAAGTACAGTAACTCTACCTTAATATTGTAAAAAAATTCTTGTATGCGTCTGGTAAATTTCCGCACTTTAGTTTTGAAGAGAAAACATTCCTGTACCTGGATCTTTTCTTTCATGCAAAACCTGATGAATTTTAATTGTCTTTAATTGTCATAATGTCATATTCAAAACAAAACTATGTAATACTCTATATTGAGTGATATAACTCACTAATAACAATATGTAGGTGAGTTTTTATAAACAGCGAATTGTAGTATATAAGCTGTTTGTTGCGGAGTAAGCCATCAGACTTTTTGCAAACTTGTATCTAACATATTGCAATATTTTCATGAGTCACACACGGTAACTACAGATCTAGACAAACTGGCTAATTTTTTAAATGTAATGTGGTGAATACACGGGTAATAAGAGGGTTATAAAACGTTTTGAACGAATCCAATCTAGAATTGTTCTTGGTCGTCTTGATTAATTTTTGTATTCATTATTTGTATCTGGTAATGTCCAGTAGTTAATTTTCAAATTGAATCGTTCTTAAAATGTTCTTGAAGGTTAGTACTGAACTGTTAAAACGTATTTCAATGTTAACATTGAAAAGTTAACTAAAAACTTACTCAAACGCAAAGAATGAACTGTTAAAACTCATTTCAATGTTAACATTGAACAGTTAACTAAAAACTTACTCAAACAATTAACTGTTAAAACTCATTTTAATGTTAACATTGAAAAGTTAACTAAAAACTTACTCAAACACTGAACTGTTAAAACTAATTTCAATGTTAATATTGAACAGTTAACTAAAAACTTACTCAAACAATGAACTGTTAAAACGTATTTCAATGTTAACATTGAACAGTTAACTAAAAACTTACTCAAACGCAAAGAATGAACTGTTAAAACTCATTTCAATGTTAACATTGAACAGTTAACTAAAAACTTACTCAAACAATTAACTGTTAAAACTCATTTTAGTGTTAACATTGAACAGTTAACTAAAAACTTACTCAAAAAATGAACTGTTAAATTTCATTTTAATGTTAACATTGAACAGTTAACTAAAAACTTACTCAAACACTGAACTGTTAAAACTCATTTTAATGTTAACATTGAACACTTAACTAAAAACTTACTGATAGTTAGACACTAAACTGTTAAAACTTATTGCAATGTTAACATTGAACAGTTAACTAAAAACTTACTCAAACGCAGACACTGAACTGTTAAAACTTATTTCAATGTTAACATTGAACAGTTAACTAAAAACTCACTCATATGTAGACACTGAACTGACGCTGCTAACTTCATTGAGTAGCGACATATTCTCATCGTCAAAGAGGCATTCCGTGCTGCAATAAAATGTAAGTAGTCTTCACAAGAGTTGTTTCTTTACATAAAGCTGCATAATCCTTTTGTAACACTTTTTGCGACAGCTAGATGTTATTGTGAGTTCTCCTCTCTTCAAAGATAGACGATAAACTGCTGGTTCATTTCACAACTTTATTTACACAAATAAAATCCACAAATAATACAGTAATCAAACATCCACCGTTTGGTATAGCACTTATAATTAAAGTACGTGAATACACAATTTAAAATCACAGGAGTAATCTATATATATAATTCTCTTCTTCGAGCCGTTAGAAAACAAGCTGCAAACGCTCTCCCTACCTCCCCACCCCTACATGGTTTTAGTGAGCTGTGTTCACTCTAAATGTTTACAAGCAGAGCCAACGATTTTAAACGTAGGGGGGGGGAGGGGGGGAAGGAAGGGGGGGGGGTTATGGTCCTTAAAGAGCTACTTATAGTGTTTTAAAGAAATATTTTCAGTGTCAGCGTTGGTACTGTCGAATTCACAAATTATGAATTATTGAAAATTAGAAACAACTAAATAGCGGCGTATGTTATGCCGCGGGCCGGCTCGTACTGAATACATTTCAAGTTCTAACACTCGAAACACATAGCTTCCCCTTGCATTTATCTAGGCCATTCTATGTGGTCCTCTCGAAAATCTCATTTACCCGATTATATAGCCTTACAATCACTCCCTTTCAGTCAGTGAGTGATGTCCAAAAAACACACAAAATACAGTGATTGATCGCTCACACTTTCATTTCCGATGGCCAGGTATTCAACCACCATTCCGAATACAATTTACCAAACAGTCTGTTACAACTTTCACTGAATATATGGTCTGTCCATTGTATGTTACCTTACCTGTTAGACTCTTCCGAAAAACTTGGGTTGATGACACCTGTATAACACGTTGGCATATGTCTGCGTTTTAAAAAGGCAAAGTACTTAAATGTCATCTTTACATTTGTAAATTGCATAGTGCGAATTATAAAAGTTATAGCCACACTTTACAATTATATAGAATGCAAGTAATTCAAGGCTAATTTGCATCGCTTTCATCAATTCCAATGTTAAATATTTGATTAGATTTTAAATTTCTTACATGGGATCATGGTAGGAACTCGCTGCCCAACAGTTAGCTTTTAAAATTCCTGTAATTAGTAATTGAAATGTATAAATTAAATACAAATAAAACCTTTAAACTATAAAATATTTTATATGAACAAACTTTTAAAAGCGTAAAAAGTAATAAAGATACCAAATATATTGTTCATATGTTGTATTTAAATTTTTTGTAAATATAATTGACTAAAATAATAGGTTAAATCTAAATTTAGTTCCAATAATATGCTGCAGATACACACACATGGTAACTGATAAATTTAATAAACTAATTATCTATACATATGTGTAAAAGCAACACTTGTGTAAAGATGTAGTCTATTTATAGCGCACGTTCTACCACAGTTTGTAGAGAATATATGAACTGTAAGCAGTGGCGGAACTAGAAAAAAAGGGCCACCCCGCAAAAAAATATTTAGGCCCCCCCCATATATATATATATATATATATATATATATATATATATATATATATATATATATATATATATATATATATATATATATATATATATATATATATATATATATATATATATATATATATATATATATATATATATATACAAACTCAAATTACGAACACATGATACTCATCATGGCCTGTTCGAGTTTCGAAAAAAAATCAAAACAAATTACATCAGCATGTCATGATTGTAAGTGCATTAGTGTGTTTTGTGAAAATCGGTTTTATTTTATCTTTGCTATAAGACCCCTTAACCTCTAGTCGGTCAAAAGAATATAAACCATGAAAGCTTTGTATATAAGTAATGGTGTCTCGTGTTATGTTTATTTTTATGTTGTTTTTTTTTAATTTATATTATTAATAAATTTCCTTTTTATACAATGTCATTCTTTAGTAAGTACTTTATAAAAAAGTAATAATTAAGAGAAGTAATTGCTTTTTAATTTTTTTAGTACAAATCTATTAAAAGGAGCTTATGAGTACCCTTATTTGACTACTTAAAAAAGGGAAATAAGTTATGGAAGTGGTTTGAACGTTTGCTTTTCTTTGATAAGTTTGTTTGTAGGAGAAAGGACTCGGCTTTCACAGTGGTTTAAAAACAAAGGGGAAGAGAATATACAAGTGCGTGGGGGTGGTGTCTATAGAATAAAGATAATTCAACCGCAGCTACGGTAATATTTTTACAAAACAATCATCAAGTAAAAAAAATGCAAGAACATTGAAAAAAATTTAACTATAAAAAAATTATTATGGTCGGCCGTGGGCCCCTAAATGGCGTGCCCCCCCCCCCCGCATTGCGGGGTCTGGCGGCACTGTAGTTCCGCCCCTGACTGTAAGAGACCAATATGGACATACCTTTAGCATGTTTGACTTTCTCCTCCAATGGCGCCGCCGCTGTAGAAATGTTGGCATTGACAGTTGTGTCTATCTGTAGTGTTGGCTGGGCAACTATTGTCACGTCTTTGGATTGGTTGTCTGGTTCTTGATCTATTCAATACAATTATCGAAGGATGAAAGACACAACTTTGGTATATAAATAGACAGCTTTTTGTTGCTTTTAAATTTGTATTGGCTGAAATCGGGATTTAAAATATATTTCAAAGTTAAAACTATTTCAAAACATGTTCCTAACATCTTAGACAAACTACAGTTGTATAAAAATATCTTTATCTCTATAGACACAACATTTTTAACAAATCTACACATTACGTGTTATCTTCATGGCCTCGTTACATAGAGATGATATCGCATGTTCAATCTGTTGATTGAGTTCTGTATAGCCTAAATGGTGGTGAGGATTCTCCAGCCATTCTTTGCTTAAGTCTGATGCCTGTTGGGGAGATTTTATTACGTAATGGTTGGCGAGATTGAATTACGCAATGGTTGGGGAGATTGTATTACGTAATGGTTGGGGAGATTGCATTACGTAATGGTTGGGGAAATTGTATTACGTAATGGTTGGGGAGATTGTATTACAAAATGGGTGTTGGGGAGATTGTATTACGTAATGGTTGGGGAGATTGTATGACATAATGGTTGGGGAGATTGTATTACGTAATGGTTGGGGAAATTGTATTACGTAATGGTTGGGGAGATTGAATTACGCAACGGTTGGGGAGATTGTATTACGTAATGGTTGGGGAAATTGTATTACGTAATGGTTGGGGAGATTGTATTACGTAATTGGTGTTGGGGAGATGTGTGCTGTGTGATGTTGTGCGATGTGTACTGTGTAATTGTATGTTTGGGAGATGTGTATTCTGTAAAATATGTCAGGGAGATTTTTATAGTTTACGACCTGTTGTGTAGATTTTTAATTTGTAATGGATGTTGACGACATGTTTGTTGTGTAAAGGACGTAGGTCGAAATGTGTATATTGTTGATAGATAAGTTGAGATGTATATTCAGAAGGAATTAAACGCTTTGAACATAGCACTTTAAATCATATATTAATAAAAAACAGGCAGATTGATAATTACTAAGCAGCATTATCCAAGCTGTAAAAGCTTTCAGTAGATTTTAAGCCATTTTTATTCTATTTTTTATTTAACCCAGTAGATACTTTTATAGATAGATACTTTTATAAAATATATTTTTTTTATTACACACAGATACTTGTATATAATATATTTTTTATTTAACACAGATACTTTTTAAAACTATATTTTTATTTAGCACAAATACTTTTCTTACGTTTCTAAGTATCTGAAGCACGTACTGAAGATCGATAATTTTCTGATCCAGGTAAGTTTTGTGATGTTGAACGATGTTTTCAAAATGCTTGGGTCGCATCTAAACCAGACGATGATGGATTTTTAAAATTTCAAACAAAATAAGATTAATTACATCAATTAAAACTTTTTGTCAGCAATACATAATATAGTAGAGCAGTCAGGGGCGTCACAAGGTTGAGAGACACCTGACATAATGCGTAGCTTCAACCTACGACTTGCAAGTAGCGTCACCAGGTTGGGAGACGCCTGACATAATGCTAGCCTCAACCTACGACTTGCAAGTAGCGTCACCAGGTTGGGAGACGCCTGACATAATGCGTAGCTTCAACCTACGACTTGCAAGTAGCGTCACAAGGTTGGAAGCGGGGGTGGGGTGGGGGGGGGATGACACCCAAACAAAACTTAACTACTTTTATTCAGAAAGTCTTTTTCCTGTCGCGTTAAGTGCATCATTAGGCGCACGGCGGGATCATCGGGGATAGGGTGACACCAAATAGCCTCTAGTTGTGGTATAACACATGTAGGCCATATGTTTGATAATTGTCAGCGAAGGTTGGGGGGTTGGGTGTGTGTGTGGGGGGGGGGGGTGACACCCCGGTTTACACAACCTAGAGTCACTCGGCCTAGAAATACCACTGCTAGTTACACCAAATATATAACCATTTTTCCTGTTTTTCCTGGCGAAGCATATCTCCTCTGATGAAGGTTCCCACTACCCACGGTCTTCTGTCACTCTGTTCAGCTGTTTCCACTATAGTGCTAGCCTGCTGGCTCTCTTACACCAAGTGTATATGATACAACGAAGACGCGTAGATACACCTTTCTATACGAAGCTATTTATAGATATCACCCCCCTCCCTAACTAAATATAGTCACTACATCCTTATCACAACTAACGTACTTCCTTATCTACACCATCTACACCATGTACACCACCCACGCCCTAAAACCAAGCTACACAAAGTAAAACCCGATTTTTTTTTTTTACTAAATTGTCAACATCCTTCTGCGTTCGACATTTTCCCAGCGAATAGTTTAATTAAAACAGGCACAACAAAATATTACATTCTTCTCTTCTGTGAATATAAACACAGTATCATTAGCAGGCACTATAAGGTCAAGGTTATACCAGCTCTTTGAAGCTGCCATGTTTGTTCCTGCTTAATTTGTAAAAGTTACAAACATATGATAACATGTCTTTTAATTATCTATCAGAAATATGTTCAGTAAAGAACAATTACGTCAAACCTAACTGCCTAATACGAGTATACGTCTGAGACTAGCGAGACTTGTTTTTGTTGGTATACGTACGGTGAATGTAGGTCTCATAGCATAACGCACCATGTAAATAAACAGCTATGTGTAGTTCAACTAGACTAGGCCATCTTGTGTTTAGCAAACACATCACATGAGCATATGCAGGCTTGTGCTTTATTTTATTGCTCGTTTTCTTTTTTCGATGATTACGAAAATAAATGTGTATTTTAAATTTGTATTTTACTAATAATTAAAAGCACCCTACCTTTAAAGAACGTAGATAAGTACAAAAACTAAACCTGTTTCCTGTCAAATCTATTAACGCTAGGAGAGTGAGTAATGTAGCTTCAACGTATCGCTCGCACTGAACTCATTTCCTCGGAAAAAGAATTTCCAAACGGGTTTTCCCGTTATTACATAATATGCTAAGTGGGATTTGTACAAGGTTAGCCTACACATCCTGTAAAACTGTCAAATAGCTGTGATTTTAAAACCAGCAATTAAATAATGACGTTATTTAAACGTTATTTTTTCGCAAAAATAAAATCGGCTAATTATGTGTTAAGTCGTTGAATATTTTAGACGAACAAAAATGTTAAATGACAATAAAGTTGTGAAACCAAAACTGCATTGCACAGTAGTCATAGCAGATTACTGTACAACCAGTGTTTCTTCCAGACTTTTTTCTCCGGGGGGGGGGCACTTGAAATCTTCGGGATGGGGGCGGTAAACTTTCTTCGGGGGGGCGGACACTGTTAAAAGTATATATTTTCTATATAAATTATATAAATTTCATTTCGTTCGGGGGGGGGGGCGGTAAAATTTTTTCGGGGGGGGGGGGGTGCAAAGCCCCCCCGAAGAGATGCCTGGAAGAAACTCTGTGTACAACGCATACAGCATTTTATACAACAGCTAGCTCACAGAACTAGCACGTTTCATACCATGGAACATTTTAAACCACTTTCTTTCTCTACATTCGTATTCGCTTGAACTAGGCTCCGACTAATCATCTGTTCTATTGAGATTGTTAGACTTTATTTTTAGCCGTCAGCTAAGGTTCAACATTTATCTAGCATAGACGTTTTCTAAAGTAGGACCGTGCTATTACTTTCTAACAGCCACGGTAGAGTAAATGCCACTTTGAGTTAGCGTAAATCAATCAAAAGTTAATACAAAGCTGTTATATTTAAATATATACAACTGAAACAAAGCTCAAGCTATCGTGATCACAGACAGTCAGACAAACAAACACACACTAACACAGACATACAGACAGACAATATTGAAAAACTAAGTTTTTCGGACCAGATTTTTTTTGCACGATTGCAAAAAATAGCGGCGTTTAAAGGGAAATTATCCAGATTCAAAGCCACTGTTAGTTGTGTTTTTTTCTTGTTACTGCCCTTTACTTTATTTCTAAAATAATAAACATCGTAATCTTAGTGTGAATTTAAAACTGAGTTTGTACTCCCATAAAAACAAATTAAAATTAAAAACTATAATATAACGCTGTTGGTTAGTCAGTCATTCCGTCATCGCTGTAGATTTTGGAAATCTCTCCATGGGCGCAGACGGCCGGGAAAACAAATTTTTTTGGCGGCCGCTTAAATGACGCCTTGGGTTTGGGGAGATGCTGGGCGGACGTTCGTGAGAGCATCGGCTCTCAATTTGTTTTACCGTAATTTAATTTTTGTGAATATCCATATAAGCACTAAAGTGCTACCGACACCCGCGCGCAGCTACGAAGAAATATTCGCCATAATACGGGGATCCCCACCCGCGCGCTAAACTCTGAGGTAATATCCATATCCCCACCGTAGCGAAGCGCGGGTATAAGCGTTTGTGTTTAGTTTTGTTTTGTTCCCAAGTTAGTACATTACAAAAAGATTCACCGTGGCGGAGCACGGGTATGCAGCTAGTACTCATGTAATCAACTGCAAGTCGCGAGCAATAAATATTCTCTGGTGTTGTTTCTATAGAAAAACCAAACAACGTTTGAATTTTCTCTTTTACAGACAGATTGTAGATTGTATCCAGATTGTACACTTATGTCCAGAGTGTGGATTGTATCCATTTTGTACACTTGGGTCCAGAGTGTGGCTTAGCATTTTACTCCGGGCGTGCACCAAGCTCATGACTATCTCAACAACCTATAATGTCACATGTGAGAAGCCTCTTAAAGCAGGCAAAGTTAATACCTACAACATACTATAGACAATATAGTCTACTGACAAGCACAGTTGACAATACAACAAGCTAAACAATTCTATAATAGTGTATAAAAGACATTGATATTGATTTACTAAATATTTAGTAAATATGTAAAATGATTTTAATCTATCAACTTAGATCAAAACCATAATGCTTTAACGGCTTATAAATGTGTCACTAAAAAAAAAAAACATATATAATTATACAGGCCCAAAATTTTACAATTCTGCAAAATATTTCTTAATCAAGTTCTTACAGGAATTTATTTGGGTTAAAGAGGGGGTGAGGGGAAGGGGGAGGGAGGGGGTGGGGGTGGGAGGGGAAGGGGGAGGGGGTGGAGTGGGAGGGGAGGGGGTGGGGTGGGAGGGGAGGGGGTGGGGTGGGGTGGGAGGGGAGGGGGTCTACCGTATCGAAAGTTTTCAAAAAACATCGATCACGCAACCTACCGGTGACACAGGGGAGATAATACTATTAATTATATCAATAATTTTTTTTTAAAAATCATCTTAAATTAAAAAATAATGCAGGCTTATAAGTACCCCCGGTGCGGCACTTAATGGTGTCAGCGACCTTTCCCGGGGGCAAAGTTTCAATTTTCAAGTTGCACCCCACCCCCTTCCCCTCCTCAAACGTTCGATCCCCCCCCCCCCCCCCCCCCCCGCCCCTCAAAATTTCGATTTGCCTTGACCAACAAGGCTATAATCGGAAAAGTATTACTGTAATTTAAAAAAAAAAAAAGAAGAGTCTATTATCAGACTCCCCAAAACCCACACCAAGATTAGTGTTCAGCATTCGAGTGTTCCAAGGTGTGCACCTTAGCGCTAGCCTGGCCCCGCGGACACGACGTTAGAAACCCCGCCCGACCCCCGCAGGGACTCCCCTGAGAGGGGCGGGAAAAGGCGACAAAAATCGTCTCAGGAGGTACCAAGTGTCGCTCTATTGCGCACACCCCGTTTTTTGAACACTAAAGCGTTCTGCACATAGGCTTGGTAAGGTAAGCCTGAAAATCCAAATGATGGCGTCGATGTAATACTGCCATGCTCGGACCTAAAAGGCGACAAGTTAATTGGCGTTTTTAAATTCCCGTTCTGTTTTTAAAAATTATATTATTACGAGCCGACCCGCGGTGTATCATACGCCGCTATTTAGTTGTTTTTTTTTCTACTTTTCAGTAATTGAAAGTATTTGCTTTAAAACACTAAACCCCCATTTCACCCCCCCCCCGTGAAAGCAGCCTCCTCTTAGTTACCTCCTCTAAGTTTAAAAAAGTTTCAAACTGAATTATCTGCCCCTATTAGCCGTCGCCAAACTAAACATTTAGCATGAACTACAACTCACCTGACCATGTGAGGGGAGGGGGGGGGGGTGGGGGGTGGTAGCAATAGAGAGGAAGAGAGGGGACTGCAAGGCGCGCGCTTTCAGCTTGTTTTCTAACGGCTCCCAGAAGAGAATTATATATATACGAGCTGACACGCTGCGTATCATACGCCGCTATTTAGTTGTTGTTTTTTTCTACTTTTCAGTAATTTATAATTTGTGAATTCGACAGTACCAATGCTGCCATTGAAAATATTTGCTTAAAAACACTAACCCCCCCCCCCCCCCCACGTGAAAGCAGCCTCCTCTTAGTTACCTCCTCTAAGTTTAAAATAGTTTCAAACTAAATTATCTGCCCCTAATAGCCGTCACCAAACCCGCGTCTATGATTGTAAAATGTAAACAGAGTGAACACCGCTCACCAGATCATGTGGGGTGGGGTGGGGGTGGTAGTGATCGTGTTAGAGAGGAAGAGAGGGGACTGCAAAGGCGCGCTTGCAGCTTGTTTTCTAACTGATCCCAGAAGAGAATTATATATATAGATAGATAGATATTATATCTATTTTAAAAAGATTCACCGTAGCGAAGCTCGGGTATGCAGCTAGTCTATAATATACGCCGCAAGTGTCGTTTCGCACATTCTAGCACTTCCGTCAACGGTATATCAACTTTGTCTTCTTCAAAGCTGGAGAATGAATAACGTGGTCATCTATGGAAAGTCGCTCCCTGGGCGCGGACGCCCGGGAAAACATGTAGTTTGGTGGCGGTTTAATAGTTTAAATTACGCTGTGGGTTCGGGGAGGCGAGGTATCTGGGCTGACGTTCGTGAATATCCCTATTCACCCCGAAGGTGCTACCGCCACCCGCGAGTAGCGCGGTGCTCTGGGGTAGTATCCATATAGGGTCGTATCCCCAGGGTAACGAAGCACGGGTGTAAGATAGTTTTTATGTATGCTACTTCTTATTTCTTTGTAACCAAATCTGATACTGTAATTGATGAATTGTATTTGGAATGAAACGTGTGTGATGGTTGAATACCTGGCCATCGGAAGTTAATGCGATCAATCACTGTATTTTGTATCCTTTTTTGAGATCGCTAACTGACTGAAGAGAATAATTGTAAGGCTATATAATCGTGTTATGCCTGTGATGTTTATCTTGTGTATTCACGCACTTTAAGTATAAGTGCTACATCAAACGGTGGATTACTGAAATGAACTGTATTCTTTGTAGATTTGTGAAATATAACAGAGGTTTATCGCCTATATTTGAAGAAAGAAGAACTCACAATAACATATAGTTGTCACAATAACATCTAGTTGTCACAATGACATCTAGTTGTCACAGTAACATCTAGTTGTCACAATAATATTTATTTGTCACAATAACATCTAGTTGTCACAATAACATCTAGTTGTCACAATAACATCTAGTTGTCACAGTAACATCTAGTTGTCACAATGACATCTAGTTGTCACAATAATATCTATTTGTCACAATAACATCTAGTTGTCACAATAACATCTAGTTGTCACAATGACATCTAGTTGTCACAATAACATCTAGTTGTCACAATAACATCTATTTGTCACAATAACATCTAGCTGTCACAATAACATCTAGCTGTCACAATAACATCTGGTTGTCACAATAACATCTAGTTGTCACAGTAGCATCTAGTTGTCACAATAACATGTAGTTGTCACAATAACATCTATTTGTCACAATAACATCTAGCTGTCACAATAACATCTAGTCACAATAACATCTAGTTGTCACAATAACATGTAGTTGTCACAATAACATCTATTTGTCACAATAACATCTAGCTGTCACAATAAAATCTATTTGTCACAATAACATCTAGTTGTCACAATAACATGTAGTTGTCATAATAACATCTAGCTGTCACAATAACATCTAGTTGTCACAATAACATCTAGTCACAATAACATTTAGTTGTCACAGTAACATCTAGCTGTCACAATAACATCTAGCTGTCACAATAACATCTAGTTGTCACAATAACATCTAGTCACAATAACATTTAGTTGTCACAATAACATCTAGTCACAATAACATCTAGCTGTCACAATAACATCTAGTTGTCACAATGACATCTAGTCACAATAACATCTAGCTGTCACAATAACATCTAGTCACAATAACATCTAGTTGTCACAATAACATGTAGTTGTCACAATAACATCTATTTGTCACAATAACATTTATTTGTCACAATAACATCTAGCTGTCACAATAACATCTAGCTGTCACAATAACATCTATTTGTCACAATAACATCTAGTTGTCACAATAACATGTAGTTGTCATAATAACAACTAGCTGTCACAATAACATCTAGTTGTCACAATAACATCTAGTCACAGTAACATTTAGTTGTCACAATAACATCTAGTTGTCACAATAACATCTAGTCACAATAACATTTAGTTGTCACAATAACATCTAGTTGTCACAATAACATCTAGTCACAATAACATCTAGCTGTCACAATAACATCTAGTTGTCACAATGACATCTAGTCACAATAACATCTAGTTGTCACAATAACATCTAGTCACAATAACATCTATTTGTCACAATAACATCTATTTGTCACAATAACATCTAGCTGTCACAATAACATCTAGCTGTCACAATAACATCTAGTTGTCACAATAACATCTAGTCACAATAACATCTAGTCACAATAACATGTAGTTGTCACAATAACATCTAGCTGTCACAATAACATCTAGTTGTCACAATAACATCTAGTCACAATAACATCTAGTCACAATAACATGTAGTTGTCACAATGACATCTAGTCACAATAACATCTAGTTGTCTAGTTTTTATTAAAGAGTATTATATAAATAAAATGGTAGTGTCATTAAATAGTAGAAAATCTAAAATATTTAACAACATCACGATGTTTCCCAACTGTATTTGTTCCCGGCTCCATCGTTAGAGGTTTGTATGTAATGTGGAAACCTCTATAACTTATATAAATCTATTTCTGAATCAGTATATATGTAAATTCGATATGTATGTCTTTTTTTACAAAAAAAAAATGAATGTTTAATGTCATCCTTTATTTTTCTAACAACACTTGCAGCATTCGTTAGATAGAACGGCTGTGAATTCCGCTCTCAGCTAACGAACTCTCCACTATATTCTCATTTCAAACAACCTAACTACCCCGACTACAACCCTCTCACCTAACTGCCAAACAACCCAAAAACTTATATTTTTAATTAACTACCTGTCACAACCAATATAACTACAGTAACATCATAATCACAACACATACAATACCATCAAGCATACAAAAATTCACAACACAGTTTTAGAAAAATTTTTTTTTTAATATAATGTGTGATACATATTGTATGTGTGTAGACAATAACAAGCTAATTCATGTTCAATTAAGAAAGTTTAAAAAATACATGATATTTAATTATGAATGAATAACCTTATTCAAATCAACCTTCGATTAGTTATAATATTCACATTCTGTCTCAGGCCATTTTGACACTAAACGCTTTTCTCAACATTTTGAGATAAATATACAATTCAACAATACAGTATAACGAAATGTCCGGGGTATGTAGATCTAAGCATTTCAATAACAGGCTTTGAAAACAGCAAGATATACGCCTTTTTTACAAGCTTTTATTTAACTCACTTCCTCTGTCTGTCTTGACGGAAACGCAGGAGTGAAAATTCGGACAGTTCTACTTGACCGATACGATTCACAGTTGGCACGTGGGTCAAGACATGAAGACAATGCAATCTGAAACTAAATTTGACTTAATTGGATGCCTAATTAATTTTTTATGAATTAATAAAAATTTGGACCGAATTAGTAGGCATGTCTAGCCAACCACACCACACGCGTCATCACCTTCAATAGCCGCGCCATCACGTAATGGCTGCGTTCAAAAACCATTGCGCGCCTACTGAACGTGATGTTCAGTAGGCGCGCAATGGTTTTTAGTCATGTAACTCTATTGTAAATAAAACATGTAAAGTACTGAAAAAAAAATTCATAAAAAACGTTTTAATAACAAGCTTTTATGTGATGATGCACTAAAAAGTAGAAAATAAATTATAGACTACTATCTAAATAACTATAAAGAAAAGCGTGGGTGTCTTCCTTAACATTAGTAAAGGTATCCAATAGATACTAAAGTGACACACGCTTTTCTTTATAGTTATTTAGATAGTAGTCTATAATTTATTTTCTACTTTTTAGTGCATCATCACATAAAAGCTTGTTATTAAAACGTTTTTTATGAATTTTTTTTTTTACATTGATTTATTAATAAAATGTTTCATTTCCCAAACTGTTGTTTATCTTAAATAAATGACAGCACCATCCATTATGTATACTCCTGCATTGAAAAATAAATAAATACATTTTTCATTAATAGCTTACCATTAATCAAATAAAAAATTATACAACACTTTATTTACTGTAGTACTTAGATGTTTTTGGAAGGAAAATATAACAACAAATTCATTGCCATATGGAGGAGTGTAGCTTATTAATTTTAGATGGGATTTAGAGATTCGTGTTGGGGGGGGGGGACAAATTAAGTCGTAAAAAACAAAAACGATTTAATCTAATGATACAAGAAAATATACACGAAAAAGGATAATATACCTGCAATGAAGATACACATCTCCAACTCTCTACAAAAGAATAAAGCAAACAAACATTGCCAAGACTAGATTTGGTAGCATCAGCACATCCTGAATACTTGATTTGTTGGAATATGGGACGGTTACGTTGAAAGTTGTCCTTCCTTTTTGTGATGAGTTTAAAAATTAATAACTGGTACACATACCCATACATAAATACACACACATATATGCCTATATATATATATATATATATATATATATATATATATATATATATATATATATATATATATATATATATATAGTATTCAACGTGTACGAACATTTAAAGAGTATATATAACAAAATAGGACAGTCTATTGGTTCATGCATTACAAAGAACATTTATTGGTGGTTTTTCCACTCTTTGTTTTGATTTTTTTTCCATGTAAATCCCAAATAAAGGGATTGTGTCTGATGTTTTTGTGTGAGGATTCTAGACCTGATGTTTACCATGTTGTGTCCAAAATTGTTTTTTTTTTTTTGCAAAAGAAAAAAATATTGTTACAACAAATAATTACAACTGTATATGTTTCTACTTCGTTAACAAGCGAACTGCCGTTTAACCGTGTTTGTATTGTCTGTTAATTTTTTCACGCCCATATAAACAGGCTACACAATTTAAAGGTATCGATACAAAATTTCTTAGTATAATAAATTGAATATTTTCTGAAAACCTAATATGGATTATTTTATTTCCAGTATTTAAAAAAATATGTGATTGCATAATTACAGATATTTGGGCCAAACATAATTACAGACAGTTGGGCCAAACATAATTACAGAAATTGGAACAAACATAATTACAGAAATTGGAACAAACATAATTACAGAAAGTGGGCCAAACATAATTACAGAAATTGGGCCAAACATAATTACAGACAGTTGGGCCAAACATAATTACAGAAATTGGAACAAACATAATTACAGAAATTGGAACAAACATAATTACAGAAAGTGGGCCAAACATAATTACAGAAATTGGGCCAAACATAATTACAGAAATTGGGACAAACATAATTACAGAAATTGGGCCAGACATAATTACAGAAATTGGGCCAAACATAATTACAGAAATTGGGACAAACATAATTACAGAAATTGGGACAAACATAATTACAGATATTGGGCCAAACATAATTACAGAAATTGGGCCAAACATAATTACAGAAATTGGGCCAAACATAATTACAGAAATTGGGACAAACATAATTACAGAAATTGGAACAAACATAATTACAGAAATTGGGCCAACATAATTACAGAAATTGGGACAAACATAATTACAGAAATTGGGACAAACATAATTACAGAAATTGGGCCAAACATAATTACAGAAATTGGGCCAAACATAATTACAGAAATTGGGACAAACATAATTACAGAAATTGGGACAAACATAATTACAGAAATTGGGACAAACATAATTATAGACAGTTGGGACAAACATAATTACAGAAATTGGGCCAAACTTAATTACAGAAATTGGGACAAACATAATTACAGAAATTGGGCCAAACTTAATTACAGAAGTTGGGACAAACATAATTACAGACAGTTGGGACAAACCTGAAGTCCTTTCCACCAGCTTCCAGCGAGTTTGGTTTTTATGTTTCTTACACAACGGAAATGCCGAAGTTTGGCACGGATAGTCGTGCCAGTTGTCTGAAAAAAATGTTGAAAACAATTTCATTTGAAATTACATAATAAATTCATTGTTTTATTTCTTATTTTTTTTCAATTGTATGTAAAATAGTATAGAACAAAAAAAATGAAAATATGTTTTAATTTTTTTTTTACATTTTCATGAACAAATTATAATTCAGATTAATATTTTCATTTCTAACTCCTGATAAGTTTTAGTGGGTTATAAAAAAAATAATATTTAATTGAAGGCTTAACATAATGATGATAAAATAATCTTCACCGAAACAGTAGAAAAAGATCATTTAATAAACTTCTTTCTAGGGTCAAGGGTCACCCTGACAGTGGAAAATTGAAAACAAAAATTGCCAAAAAAAACTTTAATAAATACACACATACATTTGTTACAAAACTATTTGTAAATTAAGAAGATATAAACCAGCATATAAATGAAGGTCAATTTATGATGCAATCATATTTTATAGATCATTTGACCCCAAATGTTCTTATTAGAGATACATGGCTGAAGTTTTCCTATTTTAGACCTTTCTTGCTGGAATAAGCTAAGAGATTCAGAACATTGTTACCACAGACTGGGATTTCAGATTTCGTATTATATGTGAAAGTTCTGGTATTTTAAAAACTGGACTAAGCTAAGCCCATTAAGCTACATTGAAACGTTAGGACACTTTATACCACGTTTTAAATACTTTTTTTTACGGTTTAGATAACTTTTTTATGATAGAGTACAAAATTTATTTTAAAAGTATTAGCAAACTTATTTTTAAACACGTTTTTGTTTTATATAAAGCAACAAATAACTTGATGTCAATTTATAATTACCGCTTTTAATATTTGAATTGTGTATTTCTAATGTTTTTTTATGCGAATGTTTTTGGTATCTCTCCCTTTGTCAGAATGACTTCCCCTTCCCCTTAACTTCATAATGACGCTGAGATAAAAATTATACTTCACCGAAGCTGTACGAAGCCAGAGCACACTCTTCATTTTCCACATTGCCCTGATCTTTGTCCCATCTAGTGAAATTACTTTCAGTACCGTCGACCCATCTGGAAGTTTAAATACAAAGCTAAAACACATTTTAACATGTATGAATTCATACACAACTTTAACATACTCAAAGTATACATACACTAAGTACAGTGTAACACTGCCGTAGTAGGGATGATATCAGAGTAAGGTGTAGAGTTTAAAAGGGCTGACCCTGAGTGCTAACACACGACGAAATGACGCTTTTGTTGATAGATACTGGCTTTATTGCAAACTCGTATACGGTTAGTCATGAACATCCAAGCCAATAACGGCTGTGTAGCCCTTCATTAGTTCTACATGAGCAACTTATCATAGGCAACGGCACCGTCCGTGCCCACAGCAGCCTTGGGTCTGAATGACACGGACACAGGTACGATTACCCAGAATCCCAGAGGTCACATGACATGAAAACACGGGTAAAATCGCTCACAAAAAAGCAATTAAAAAATACATCAACAGTTACGGTCCCACAGGGGCAAACCCAAATAAATAACAAATTATTCCCCCTGACTAGTTACCATGGTATGTGTTACAAATCCGTATCAATCCATACACAACTATAAACCACCCAAATTAAACATGCATGTACTATTAAAGACAAGGTTCAACATGAATACACTTTTTAGTTTGTAACACATATTTGAAGCTATAATAAGAACTGTTATTAGCAGTTCACGACGATTGATAGAATTAACTTACTTCCCCTTAAGATGATTGATAGGATTAACTTACTTCTCTCAAGATTATTGATATGAATAAATTACTTCACTCGAGTTTATTGAAAGGATTAACTTACTTCCCTGAAGATTATTGAAAGGATTAACTTACTTTCCTCAAGATGTTTGATATGATTAAATTAGTTCCCTCAAGATTATTGATATGATTAACTCACTTCCCTCAAGATTATTGAAAGGATTAACTTACTTTCCTCAAGATGTTTGATAGGATTAACTTACTTCCATGTTTGATTAGACGATCTGTAGAATCCAATCCAAGACATACCTCTCTGAACCTTCACATTTTTAGACAAAACAAATGAAAAAAAAATCAAAGATATGAAATCAACTAGGAAAAACAACAAGAGGTTCATGTATCACTTGGACCACTTTGGCTTACCTGTGAGTTTAGGAACTTAACCTCGTCATCTGACACCAGGGTGGCGAGGTTAGCCCCGAGGGTCGTACAAAACTGCTGGGCTTGGAACCACGTGACTCCCGTCTGTGACGTGTAGTAGCAGTGGTCAGAGAACATTCGAGCAATACCGCCAGGGCAAGATTCTATACATACAGAATATTAAAAGAATATGACAAGCGCTTCACGTTTATTAGAAATAGTAGTAAAATACCTTTTTTTAGATTGTTATGTGAAATGTAAGTATACTTGTTTCTCAAAACTTTCTTTTCTAACCTCTACCTTATATATATATATATATAAATATATATATAAATAAATATATATATATATATATATATATATATATATATATATATATATATATATATATATATATACATATATATATATATATGTATATATATATATATATATATATTCTAGCTGCATACCCATGCTCCGCCATGGTGAATCATTTTATTCCTTCAGCGCACCGCGCTGCGCGTAGGGCCTATACCCGCGCTTCGCCACAGTGTGGATATGGATATTACATCAGAGTGTGGGTCCCTGCATTGGGGCGCATATTCCAACATGGGATCAGAACAAAACTAAACACAAACGCTTCTACCCGTGCTTCACGACGGTTTGGATATACTATCTCAGGGGGGGAGGGGGGTCCCCGCAATGGGTCAGATAATCCTTCAGCGCACCGCACCTCAGAGTTTACTGCGCTGCGCGCGGATGGGAGTCCCCGCATAAGGGCGAATATTCCTTCAGTGTCGGTATTACTTCACGAAAATTAAATTACTGTTAAAAAAAAAATTGAGAGCCGATGCTCTCACAAACGTCCGCCAAGACATCTCCCCAAACCCAAGGCGTCATTTAAACCGCCGCCAAAAAAACTTGTTTTCCCGGCCGTCCGCGCCCAGGGAGAGACTTCCAAAATCTATAGCGATGACGGAATGACTGACAGACACACTACCACACGCGGTATATTATATATATATATATATATATATATATATATATATATATATATATATATATATATATATATGTGTGTGTGTGTGTGTGTGTGTTTGTTTGTGTTGTGTTGTGTACGTACGTAACTGCCTTCACCCTTGATTTAATACTTATTAATTTAGGAAAGAGTTTTTTGTCTTCTATATATTTCATAGAGCCTACCATTTGTTTTTGCTTTTTATAACAATTCACTTATGAATTTAAAATTTTAACTTAGGTAGACTATTAAACTTAAATTGTTATATACCTACCTGCATTTGTTTCCCGACCCGCATCAATCAGTTGTGCCATCATGATTGCAATACACACAATATGTCGTATTTCCAGTTGCATCTTTAGCTTTGAGGCGTTGCAATTTACACTTACACCGAACTCTATTACCCCCTACATGATGAATGGTAATTGCTGACAGTTAATTTTGATGCAAAGTAAGTTTATATAAATATTACACTGTATTTTTAGATAGATTAGCAGCAAATAAAGTATGTATGTCATGCCCATGTTTACTTGTATAGTAGTACCGACATTGTTTCGTTCCTATTTTAGATTTAAGAATAGCATAAATCTATTTATTACACGCATTTTAATTATCTGAATTATATCTTGCTAATATTTGTCACATAATGTATACACATTTGTTTGAAATGACAACTCGTTAATAGCTAATGATAAATTATACTAAAAACCAAACTTTATTTTTATGTATTCTTTGATGAATAACGTCAGCGGAAGAACATCAATAAATCAAATCAAGCAAAACATATATTATTTGTTACATAATTAACTAATTAGCACAATTAACCACCGATTAAAACATAACTTGGAATACATTGCTGGTGATTCACGGGGAATCATTGGCATTTGTTTGTAACAAAAATAAAGTTTTGTAAAGGAAAAAAATAAAATAAAAACTTTTTTGTTTTTGGAGAGAATTACTTAATCATTTCTAAAAGAAACTTAATGCGAAATGTATAATAAAATGATTGTGATACAAATTATTATGCATTAAAATATTTATTATAAATGCTTATTATTAAATTAATAAGCATTTGATGGAATGAATTATCGAAATGAATACAACTTATTTGAAAAAGTATCTAGCTAAGTTGATAAACCAGCCTACTCGTCTACAAAATAAAATCACCAAAGCGATAAAAAAACGAGTTATGAGAAGCAAGTTGTAGGCCTACCTTGTATTATCCGTTAAAGAAACGTAAAACACAGAACGAGCGGACGGGTTTACCCCGCATCTATGTCTGAAGAAAAGCACAACATCTTGGCATCAGCGCCTGCTTTTTTTGACGTCTGGCAGCTATAAAACCTCCATTCTCCCCGCCCCACATATGGAGTGCTGTTGGCCTTGATGGTAAGCCTAATGTTGTCTGTCTGTCTGTCTGTCTGTCTGTCTGTCTGTCTGTCTGTCTGTCTGTCTGTCTGTCTGTCTGTCTGTCTGTCTGTCTGTCTGTCTGTCTGTCTGTCTGTCTGTCTGTCTGTCTGTCTGTCTGTCTGTCTGTCTGTCTGTCTGTCTGTCTGTCTGTCTGTCTGTCTGTCTGTCTGTCTGTCTGTCTGTCTGTCTGTCTGTCTGTCTGTCTGTCTGTCTGTCTGTCTGTCTGTCTGTCTGTCTGTCTGTCTGTCTGTCTGTCTGTCTGTCTGTCTGTCTGTCTGTCTGTCTGTCTGTCTGTCTGTCTGTCTGTCTGTCTGTCTGTCTGTCTGTCTGTCTGTCTGTCTGTCTGTCTGTCTGTCTGTCTGTCTGTCTGTCTGTCTGTCTGTCTGTCTGTCTGTCTGTCTGTCTGTCTGTCTGTCTGTCTGTCTGTCTGTCTGTCTGTCTGTCTGTCTGTCTGTCTGTCTGTCTGTCTGTCTGTCTGTCTGTCTGTCTGTCTGTCTGTCTGTCTGTCTGTCTGTCTGTCTGTCTGTCTGTCTGTCTGTCTGTCTGTCTGTCTGTCTGTCTGTCTGTCTGTCTGTCTGTCTGTCTGTCTGTCTGTCTGTCTGTCTGTCTGTCTGTCTGTCTGTCTGTCTGTCTGTCTGTTTGTCTGTCTGTCTGTCTGTCTGTCTGTCTGTCTGTCTGTCTGTCTGTCTGTCTGTCTGTCTGTCTGTCTGTCTGTCTTTCTGTCTTTCTGTCTGTCTGTCTCTCTGTCTCTCTGTCTCTCTGTCTCTCTCTCTCTCTGCCTGTCTGTCCGTCGGTCACAAACTTTTGTATTTCAATAACCCGAATCATTGTAAGTACTATCACAACAATTACTGAATCACGGGTAAATAGGAGCATGATATAACCTAACCTCGTCAATTACCTCCGGTAATTTCCTCAAAACGCGGTTACCCTCAGATGAATTGCTTCCTGTATATTACTATTATACCCACATCCCCCCCCCCTATTGTGGGGCATTAAGTGGACCCAAAACAATCATATGATGTTACACCCTGACAATTACACAAAGATAAATTTATATGTAAGCGAGATTAGGTATAGAATGAATTCAAATTTATGTCATCGGGTCTTGTTCCGCTGTCAAGTTTGAAATGATGCGATCTGTAGGCTACTGTTTGAATAAAGGCTCAGCAAACTGCTTCCTCATACGGGGGTCCTCATACGGGGATGCTCTAATACAGCACCTACAATCATTGTATAGAGCGCCTTAGTCAGCTGAAGGTTTTAATACAGCACAAGTCTGGCGAAAGGCTGGACAAACTAGCGTCACAACAACCTCGCGCCCGACCAACACGCGCCCCACCAAACTAGCGTCACAACTACCTCGCGCCCCGCCAAACTAGCGTCACAACAACCTCGCGCCCGAACAACACGCGCCCCACCAAACTAGCGTCACAACAGCCTCGCGCCCCGCCAAACTAGCGTCACAACAACCTCGCGCCCCGCCATACTAGCGTCACAACAACCTCGCGCCCCGCCAAACTAGCGTCACAACAACCTCGCGCCCCGCCAAACTAGCGTCACAACAACCTCGCGCCCCGCCAAACTAGCGTCACAACAACCTCGCGCCCCGCCAAACTAGCGTCACAACAACCTCGCGCCCGACCAACACGCGCCCCACCAAACTAGCGTCACAACAACCTCGCGCCCGAACAACACGCGCCCCACCAAACTAGCGTCACAACAACCTCGCGCCCCAACAAACTAACTTCACAACAACCTCGCGCCCCGCCAAACTAGCGTCACAACAACCTCGCGCCCCGCCAAACTAGCGTCACAACAACCTCGCGCCCGAACAACACGCGCCCCACCAAACTAGCGTCACAACAGCCTCGCGCCCCGCCAAACTAGCGTCACAACAACCTCGCGCCCCGCTAAACTAGCGTCACAACAACCTCGCGCCCGACCAACACGCGCCCCACCAAACTAGCGTCACAACAACCTCGCGCCCGAACACGCGCCCCACCAAACTAGCGTCACAACAACCTCGCGCCCCAACAAACTAGCGTCACAACAACCTCGCGCCCCAACAAACTAGCGTCACAACAACCTCGCGCCCCGCCAAACTAGCGTCACAACAACCTCGCGCCCCGCCAAACTAGCGTCACAACAACCTCGCGCCCCGCCAAACTAGCGTCACAACAACCTCGCGCCCCGCTAAACTAGCGTCACAACAACCTCGCGCCCGACCAACACGCGCCCCACCAAACTAGCGTCACAACAACCTCGCGCCCGAACACGCGCCCCACCAAACTAGCGTCACAACAACCTCGCGCCCCAACAAACTAGCGTCACAACAACCTCGCGCCCCGCCAAACTAGCGTCACAACAACCTCGCGCCCCGCCAAACTAGCGTCACAACAACCTCGCGCCCCGCCAAACTAGCGTCACACCAAACACGCGCCACAACAGCTTGGCGCCCAACCAAACACGCCCCACCAAACCCGCGCCCCACAAAACACGCGCCCCAACAACCACGCGCCCCAGCGCCTAATATCAAATAATATAGCGTCGGTGTCGTTTACTCAGTTTTAGCAATAAGGTCAAAACGTCTAAAAACACACGATTTGTAACGCTTTTCTAAAACCACCATAAAATGTTGCATCAGTTTGAATTTTCTTGTCTTCTGACATAGCAGATACGCGCGATGGATTCGCACGTTTTCTGCTATAAATAGATATAATCTTACATTTTGTTTGAAAGGGCAGGGTGACAGGGGGTAGGAGGGTGGGAAATTTTGAAAATATAGACAATCAGACAGTTCGGTAAAATACAGACACTGATTGCAAATGGCACCATCCCTTGCCAGCAAGTGTAGTGACGTCTGAATTTATTCCGAATGTATCTTGGCGTACGTTAAATCATTTGTGTTCCCGTGCGACCTACATAATAACCTCAATGCAGTTGTACTGGCTGCATGACCCTAATATTCCCACTGCATTCTTATCTGATCAGAGTTTCTTCCAGGCATCTCTGGGGGGGGGGGGTTAAAGTCCCCTCCCCACCCCCAAAACGAAATGAAATTTATATAATTTATATAGAAAATATATACTTTTAACTGTGTCCGCTCCCCCCCCTCCCCCCCCCCCCGAAGAAAGTCTTAACCCCCCCCCCCCCCCCGAAAATTTCAAGTGTCCCCCCCCCCCCCCGAAGAAAAAAGTCTGGAAGAGACACTGTATCTGATCCAGCTGCAATGTGTATATTCATTGCAGTTGTAGGGGAGCTCACTCCAGCTTCAGTTAGTTCAAGTAATGTTCTCTGAATTGTTTCAGAGATTTCATAAACGACTATATTTTTAAGTAAATAGAGAGTTTCTTTTGTTTTGTTTTTTTTAAATTGCAGGCCTGTATTACAATCTTTTTTCTAACTGGCTCAGATGGCAACCGACCAACCGACCAACCGACCGACCGACCGACCCACAGACCGACCCACAGACCGACCGACCGACCGACCGACCGACCGACCGACCGACCGACCGACCGACCGACCGACCGACCGACCGACCGACCGACCGACCGACCGACCGACCGACCGACCGAACAACCGACCGACCGATCGATCGACCGACCGACCGACCGACCGACCGACCGACCGACCGACGACCGACCGACCGACCGACCGACCGACCGACCGACCGACCGACCGACGACCGACCGACCGACCGACCGACCGACCGACCAACCGTAATGTAATGAAATGTGATAGCAGGGGCTATAGATTAGATAAAGCCCGCTAGAATTACCTGATGCTAGATAATGCTATCAAAGCAGAAACGCACTCTATAACCTTTCTTTTTATGTAGACAAGACGAACCACTTTTCAGTTTGGAAACAGTCTGTCGGTTGCACAACACAAACCAATATTCCATATGCCCACCCCACCCGTTATAGTCCTTTAATCCAAAATGATTCCCCATTTTTAGATCCGAACTCCCGCCTGAAAGTCTCGAGTTCGAAACCGGGTACACGTCTTGATGGGTACTTAACTCACGTGAGGTAAACAAAGGCGGATGAGCATAATGTTGACCACATTATCCCTTCTTAAGCCGAGGTCTCAATGAGGCAGATGATCTCACCTTCGTCTCTGCCCCATGATGATGATGAAATACGTATTTTACAGTTCTGCACATAGTGCATTGCTCTGATCAAGCAAAACCAACAAACATCAACTCAAATAATCCCAGCAACATTAAATTCAAAAGATCAAAAACTAAATGTTTTAACAAAAAAAAATTTAGCTTTTTTTTTTTTTACCATTGACTCGAGTTTCATCCTACTAACATTTTAACTACGATCGCAACGCTTATCTGGGCAACTGGAATTGCCATCTCCACAATCCCCATTTTGTTTCCAGACTGGCAGGTTTATTCGTCCAATGCTGTGTGTCTGGCACTTCCGGTCACACACACACACACATATATATATATATATATATATATATATATATATATATATATATATATATATATATATATATATATATATATATATATATATATATACATATATATATATATGGTAAGAGAGTGCTTTATGTGGCATAGTGCAGATCGTTGTCTGAATCTTTGTGTCTGTACATAGTTTAAACCACCTCTATACGTTATCAAAAAGTGTTAACGACACCAGAGAATAAAGGGCACTTAATCTGGTTAAAACTGGAGGCCTTATGTTCCATAAGGAGCAAAGAGGACTAAGTCAAGTCAATCTGGTCAAAACAGTAGCTATTGTTGTCATTCTCTGTTGTTTCGATGAGATTGTCAAGTATCCTAGACAACTGACATACTAACAAAACAGTTTTTTGGTGTTGGATTTACTGCTAGTATTTATATAAAAAATTAAATAAAATAAATTGCAGTAAACGACGTTTCATGATTTCTGTTGTTTTTTTTTAACTTTTACCTTTTAGGTGAATTAAAACGATTCTACAATCGCGTGTATCTGCGTTGAAAATGACAATTTAAACAGTTTTAATACGATTATATTGTTACTGATATGTTAGAAAAATAAAACAAACTACATTTTGTCAAGTAACTTTTTATTTCTCAACTACATCAGCCTGAACAACGTACTCACTAGCCAAACATGAGCACTGGTATCATTTTCAGGACGTATCTGGGAATCGAAATAAAACATTTTAGTTATCCAGCGTGTATTTTTTTATCCGTACAAAGATTACGATAAACTCTACCTGAAAACGAAACAGTTTTATTCGAAGACTCAAATATGACATCTATCAAATAACACCCTATCAACCAATATTTTTTACGACAATACTGATTGAGCGAAAAAGCACCAATTATATATATATATATATATATATATATATATATATATATATATATATATATATAAGTAAATATCAAATATAAAACTCTAAAAATTCTATAATATAGACTAGAGATTAGGGCTAGAATTAGGGTTAGTAATTGAGTTTGTGATTAGTGTAAAACCACCTAGTAACGCAAGGAATACCATCCTCTTACCCCATCATGTTTCACTACCCCCTTCACACCACAGCCTTACCCCAGAGACCCTTCCCCACCTGAAAATCCAGCAGGTTATCTCCCTCCACCAACCCCACTCCCATCCGTCAGTAGAAGCACGAGCTTACACCAGAAACTCCAGCATGTTATTTCACCCCCACCACCCCCACCCCCAACCCCCACCCCCTCCCGTCAGTACAAGGACGAGCTTACCCCAGAAACTCCAGCATGTTATTTCACCCCCACCACCCACACCCCCAACCCCCCCCCCCCTCCCGTCAGTACAAGGACGAGCTTACCCCAGAAACTCCAGTATGTTATTTCACCCCCACCACCCCCACCCCCAACCCCCACCCCCTCCCGTCAGTACAACCCCAAGCTTACCCCAGAAACTCCATCTTATCCAGCTTCCCATTCCAGTTGCCGTCTATAGCCTGAAAGGCCGCGTCAAACTCCACCATGGTGACGATCCCATCCTTGTTGACGTCGATGTACTTGCCCCAGGTCATCGCCTCCTTGGTCAAGTTGATGACGTTCGCGTTCAAAAAGTCAAACAGCTCTTGCATGGACATAGCGTTGTCCTTGTTGTAATCATAGACCTGACAGGATTAAATCTTATACAGATCATCATCATCCCTTTAAATATGGAAGCAATGTACTAGACACAAAGTGTTTTGTTTCAATTTGGGTCTGACTTAATGTAGTGAGTCAGAGACAGATCGTATGACATCAAGACTTAACAGCGTCTGCTCGTCGCAACTGGGCTCATACTTACTTCATAGACAATCGAAAACCAGCAGTTACATGTTACTTAATACAAACTGAAAGAGACCCTCAACTTCCTGTTACATAATATAAACTGACTTAGACCCTCAACAACCTGTTATATAATACATATTGATATAGACCCTTAACTACATGTTACATAATATAAACTGGCATATACCCTCAACTACATATTACGTAATATAAACTGACTTAGACCCTCAACAACCTGTTATATAATACATATTGACATAGACCCTTAACTACATGTTATATAATATAAACTGACATAGACCTGTCACATAAATCAAACTGACAGAGACCCTCAACTACATGTCACATAATACAATTTTACCTCACTGACAGCACTACATCAGTAGCTGCCTGCCACACCAACCACACCAACCACACAACCCACAAAAACCATACAACCCATACAACCCTAACAACCCACACAACCCACACAACCTACACAACCTACACAACCCACACAAACCACACAAACCGCACAACCCACACAACCCACACAACCCACACAACCCACACAACCCACACAAACCACACCAACCACACAACCCACACAACCCACCAACCCACTTAACCACACAGCCCATCACAACCCACACAACCCTAACAACCCACACAACCCACACAACCCACACAACCCACACAACCCACACAACCCACACAACCCACACAACCCACACAACCCACACAACCCACACAACCCACACAACCCACACAACCCACACAACCCACACAACCCACACAACCCACACAACCCTAACAACCCACACAACCCACACAACCCACACAACCCACACAACCCACACAACCCTAACAACCCACACAACCCACACAACCCACACAACCCACACAACCCACACAACCCACACAACCCACACCAACCACACCAACCACACAACCCACACAACCCACACAACCCACACAACCCATACAACCCACACACTTCACACAACCCACACATCCCACACAAACCACACAACCCACACAACCCACACAACCCACACCAACCACACCAACCACACAACCCACACAACCCACACAACCCACACAACCCACACCAAAGACCAGGATCCCGCCTTACCCTCACAGCCGACAGGAGTTCCTCCTTGGACAGGTCACCGTCTCTGTTGACGTCCAGCTTGGCGTGCAAGGTCACCACGTCACTGACCGTATCTCCCAAGGTCAAGGCTGGCAGCAGTACAAGAACCCAGAGTGGCGACATGATGCAGGTCAGTAGGTCAATCTGTAACACAGCTGATGGGAAAAACACAAATACAGTGAGAGCTATGTGCTAGCCTGACAAGAATGATACACAATTATTCGTAAGGTATCACTATAATAATAGCAAATACAAAAGTATTTAAAGCTATCTAAAAAACATTTTGGGATACACAAATGTACGGTGGCATTATAATACACAAAAAAATTACGTCTTACCTTCAAGGTATTCGTTGTGAATTGCGATTCTCATCATGTGCAGCTTCAAAGTTTTATGCCCGTGCCCAGGTTTAATTGTATGCCGAGGTCAGCTCTTCTGGGCACTCACCAATGCTAATTCAGGGCACTCACCAATGCTAACTTAATGAGCCTTCAAAGATGTAGCCTACTCACCTGAACAATTCAGGTGGTGATTACAAGCGCTCTACAGAGCTAATGTAACAAGCATGAGATCACTACATAATGTGACAGTAGTTGGGACATAAGGAACACTACATACACATACACATACCATCAGACTAGAGAGATGGAAAACTACATACATATACCATCATAGTAGAGAGATGGAACACAACATATACATACCATCAGAATGGAGAGGTGGAACACTAAATGTGGGCGTTATCTCTTTACACACGTCATGGAAAGATAATCTGCTCCGTCATCAAACAACGGAGAGGTCTCTAACTATAAAATTAACCTTTTTTTTTAAACCGAAGTTTATTACTGTTAGTGATTGTGCAGATAAAATATACATATATTTTCTTCCCTATTTTCTAGTTTGAGTAAACACTGTAAATATTACTGTACAGTAACCTTTTTAAAAAAAATATTATAATTTGGTTGAGGGACATTGATATATTTCTGCAAGAGTATCATGTAACATAACATGTTAAGGGACATAGACATATTTCTACAAAAATTACATCTAAATAACCTGGTGGTTAAGTTAAGTGACATTGACACTCGCTGCTTCTTATATAACATTTTAGCTAACGGCAATATTTTGTGCAGGTTTTCTTTTACCTGCTGTTATATAGTGTAAAGTGCTGCTCAGTACTGGACATGATTCTGGTGAAGACCGTTTTTTGAAACGCACGTTGTGATTGGGTTTCTTACGTAGGATCTAGATAATAACCTGCTCACTAAATTATTTTAGTGGTTGTTTTTTTTTTGTTCAAACTGATTACATTATTGCAAAAATTATAAACTTTAATAAAAGAATGTAAAAGAAATGTAAATGGTAATTTATTTTTAAAATTCAAAATTTTTCACAAATAAATAAAACAAATTAGGGTGGTTTTTCTTTACGCAAACATATGGTTTTTGAAGTTCGCCAGTTTTCAAAGGTCATACATTTTTAGTTGCTAAACTGATTGACCTTACTGTTATCGCTGCTGTATGCTAATTAAGTTGAACAGCAATAAAGACCTCTTTACGTCATCCATATTCAGTTGATACCAGGTGGTCCACTAGACATAATGGCAGAATCCAATTACTTGATGGTGATGTTAATGTAATCTCAATGAAGGCCATACTAATATTTATAATTATATTGCTAACGTTTGGTAACATGTGCTACAAGTTCTGTTCTACTAACTAAGCTTGATCACTATATTATGTTAAGCGATTGAAATATTGGCAACTTAAAGATTTGGTATAAATTTTTGGAGCAATGTTTTCATTAATGCGGAGTTAAATTGTGGAACAATAAATTACATTTTGCTGCTTTTAGCTTTGTTATTTCAAAACGTGTTAGTGTGCTAGCTCTGTAGCTGTTCAAAAGTTGTGGTAGTTCTGTCTATGTGGTAGTTCTGTAGATGTAGTAGCGAACTGAATTCTTATAGGCGTGGGGTGTGGACAAAAAGGAGATGCATGAAAGAAACCCTGATGGCTAGTGTTGGGTTTAATAAGCAATAACCTCGATAACTATCTAATTGAAATAAAATAAATGGCTAACTCTAGTCTTAGACATAAATCTAGCCGTAATCCAAAGCATCATTTTAAACAGAAAACACACGTTTCTAGAAGTGTAAAAAAGTTATTTGTGTTGACGTGTTTGAGATTGTTTCAGATTGTTTGTACTTGGAGTAGTGTCTGCTGGACAAGCGAGGAATGTTGGCAATGTTCTACAGCTCAATGCTGTTTCAGTGTTTTCAAATCTTTTAAGTGTGGAATGCAGTGGCGTAGCTAGGTCGGGTGTCACCCACCAGAGGCGTAGAGACCCTTCCCGGGGACAAACTTTCAAATTTTCGATTTGCACCGCCCCCCCCCCCCCTCAAACTTTTGATTTGCCCCCGCCCCCTCAAATTTTTCTCTATATATTTTGCTATTTCTTGCCTTGGTTTCACCCCCCTAAATGGTGTCAGCCGGTGCGGTCCACACCCCCCTCCCCTCTCGCTACGCCTCTGGTGGAATGTATTTAATTATAGATATATTGCCATAATTCACTTACTGGCGCCATATGTAGCCTGGTAATAGTTTCTGATAATAGTTTGAATCTAACGTCATTGAACCAATAGCGCCCAATAGTTGTGTTCTACGTGGCTCCTCGTGTGGATAATTGTGACTTGGTTTTCAATTTAGTGAATGGGGATGGAGGACTTGTTAAATAATTGATATATTTCAGCGGGTAGTGTAAGGACATGTTGCCAGGTCTCATTTGTGTGTGAATAAAATGTGCTTGTTGCATAAAAAATGTTTTACTCTCTCACTTGAAATCCACAAGAAAAAAAAAACGACAAACCAAGGATGACCTGGAGCTGCAGCAATGCTATCCTAGCCTAACCCTAAAATAGTAGCATTATATACACATGTGGTCGGTTACATATAACATATGCTCGGTTAAAATAACTCACACCCATCGTTGTTGTTTATTTTGTACTACGTAGATGATAGAACCTTCTTTCTAGTTCCAAGATACAACTTAATTGATTTATTTCCATTAAGCCATTTCAGTGATGTAGCTCAAATAAACCATTTCAGTGATGTAGTTCTTTAAAGCCATTTCAGTGACGTAGTTCCTATATCAGTGATGTAGTTCTTTAAAGCCATTTCAGTGACGTAGTTCCAATCAGCTATTTAAATGAGATGATAAAGTTACTCATTAACAACACATTCTTAAAAAAATCATTTTTTTGGCTTCACCATTTTAACTACAATTGATTAGTTCAACACACTGCACTAGTATTACCCGCCCTAAGTGAACATTAATTACTTTAAAACAACAACACACCATGATTACATCATTATTTATTGCTAGTTCACAACCGTTAATAACGTATAAGCTAGTGTTTATAAAATAAGGTTGAGAAGTAGGATTACGTGTCGCTTATCAAAGTCAATTCTAATTGCTGGTGAAAATATTGAAATTATTTATAATTTCTTTAAAAAATGTGTTAAAACGAATAAGAAAATATAAGTTTTGAAAAGAGGTACTATTTTATGTGAGTTGTGTGTGTTTAGCAATAAAAGGGTTAATGCCCCCCCCCCTCCCATAAGCGCCTATACCTAAACCTGTTGAGATGTATAACAGCACCTAATATATAAAAGCCGAAGTGCGCACTTATTTTTCTATCACTGGTAAAATGAAAAATAAAAATAAAATGAACAAATGTTTATAAAAACATTTAACTAGGGAAAGTACACACAAATAAAGACGTCATTGAATGTAGAATAGAAAAAAAAATTAATTTAAAATCGAATATCGAAAGGTGTGCACAATACTCACAATGTCAAGGGTAATTGAGACACAAAATTAATGATTAAATGTATTTGTCTAAAATAAGAAAGGCGTGTAAACATAGAAAACAAATATCGCAACAGTAAAATATACACCATCTTATCGTTAGGTTTAAGGTTAGGGTTATTATTAAGGTTTAATTTCCGGTTAAATTTCCGAATCTGGTTAAAATGCCGTTAAAATGCTGTCTCTAAATACTATTTCGTTTCCAGTTTCAATCGTAATAATTATGGTTCCAATTTCGAAAAAATTAAAATTACTAGTTCGTGATACGACTATTTCCAGTTCAGTAGTTTAAGTTTAAGTATATGTGTATATATAGGTTTTGGTTTGGAGAAAAAAAATGTAACTACATAACTGTCATAACGCGACGATTTTTACGCTATTTAGTTCTTTGTTTGCTTTGGCAAAAATATATTTCAATGTATAAAAAGCACATACTAATTCTGAAATATGTTTAGAGCTGTAAAATAGAACATAGGTAGAGAACAATTTTCTTTTTCAAACAGACTGTTAATCACAAATTAATTTAAAGACGTTAGTTAATTTATTGATTTATTCATTGGTGGATTAACCACATTAATTATAAAAGTTCAGAATAATGACTTTACTTAGAGTGAATTGTGACGTCACATGATTTATTTACATTTTCAACACTATTATCAATTTTTAACAGTACTTTTTATTTTAATAGGCCTATACAATACATTTCTCTAGATCTACAGATCAGCTGTCGAAAGAAGAAAAATTTATGAATCTAACTAGATCTAGATCTAGGTCACAAGACTTATCGTAAATTCTAGATCTAGACTTAATGTAAATTCTACATCTAGATCTAGAATCTATTTCAGGCCTTAATTATTTTATATAAATCTTTGTTTAGCTTCGATGGTCTTCTAATTCGAGAAAGCATGGGATTTATCTATCTAGGTTCTAGATCTAAATCTAGATCTAGAGTTACGGCAAAAAACTAAATCTGCATCTAGACTCAACGTAAATTCTACATCTACATCTAGATCTAGATTTAACGTAAATTCTAAAACTAGAATCTAGAACTAGAATCTATATACTAATCTATTTCAGGCCTTTCTTATTTTATATAAATCTTTGTTCACCTGTGGAATTGGCTAATTTGGGATATAGGCCCTAATTAAATTTAAAATAAGAGGACTTATTCGTGTAACTGGTTTCTTACTTTGCAGTAAATTATAGTACTAATTCTACATTAGTTATCCAGTGTAATGGCTACCATATGGGTGGTACGGGTTCGAGACACATCACGACAAAGTAACTTTTTTTTATCAATTTATGTTTTTTTAAACGTGAATGATGAAGCTGCCTATCGGAACCTCGCAGGAAACAGGGCAGGTGATGTAGAGTTCACCTGTTTCTTTGTCCTCGGCATATGAAAGGATAGTGTGGTCAGAGACATGCTCGGCCGGAATCGTATTTTTTTAAACGATAAAAACATGTTGTCTGAGACTTGAAGGGACACTAGGCAGGTGAAGTAGAGTTGCGTAGGTCACCTGTGACGTCATTATATGAAGGGATAGTGTGGTCAGAGCCATGCTCAGCCGAAATCTGTGTTTCTAAAAGATAAAAAACGTCTTTTTAAATGTGGGGTCTGGTGATTTTGTGATGATAAGTGACAGATGTGATGTCATTTATGGCTAACCGCCACAGTTATATAAGTAGACAACGGGTAGTCAAGTATAATTTTAAAACTTTGGGGGAAATGTACCAATGTGAAATCATTAAAAGCAAATCCGGGGATGTGAGGAAGCTTTTAACACCAAACCAAAATTAATTAGTTAAAAGAAAAACAACAAACGTCGTCTTTTTTACTTTCTCTTATAAAGAGTATAGAGAAAATATTGTAAAAAAAAATCTAGATTTTTGCAAATCTCGACGTTTTACACCTCCCAGAGTCGGAAAAACATAGTTTTGCAATCTTTTCCGTATGTCTGTGTGTAAGTATGTGTGTGTGTGTGTGTCTGTAAACACGATAATTTGAGTACCGTTATGGCTAGTTTGATGAAACTTCATATATAAGTATGATATTACATTTGTAGATCCTTTTCAACTTTTGAGCGATTTTCGATAACCGGAAGTGGAACTTTTTCAAATTTGAATTTGTGTTTAAAAGCCGATAATTTGAGTACTATTTCAGATAGATAAAGGAAATTTCAAATTTAAGTAAAAGATCTAATTCTCTGCCTTTTGACAAGTGTAGCGTAATTTCCGTTGAGCGCAAGTATTCATTTACGCTATTTCCGATTTCTGAAAAAACGCATGTGACTTCAGGCCAATGAGCTGAAATCAGTGTTTTTTAAGGAAAAAAAATGTTGTCTGAGGTATGACGTCTTTTTAAATGTTGGGTATGGCTTTTTGTGACGATGTGTGACAGTGGGAAAGGGGAGGGAAAGTTACATTATTGTCATATTCAATTTTAGAAGAATATAAAAATATATAAAAAGGCCACTATCAAAATTCTTATTAACTATCAGTTAAGGTCATCTTCCTTTTTATATGTTTAATGTAAGACCCATGATACATTTTCATCAATGGGCGCCCAGGTTTTTAATTTTAATAATTTTTTATCATCGCACAGCTTTAGTAAGGTTACACGATAAAGACTAGGCAGAAAGATAGAGCAAATCTAAACTGCATCTGGAGATTTATTAAAGTGAGTATTTATAGCAAATACATTTTGTTTTGTTGGCAAACTAAATTTCTTTTTACTTTGAGTAGATTTTTCCTGTGTGTTCTTTTACCTGATGTATGAATATAATCAAAGCGGTTTCCTTATTTTGTTTTGATGTGAGGCTTATTTGTTCATATTCAACCCATACTAGTCTGACAGGTAGTAGAGACGTTCCTGGCCGAACAGCTAATGTTGCGTTATATAATACAATCGCACAAGTTAAAGGTTAGAGGTAAAACGTTTTACAATGCAGTAATTTTAGAAAGGCAAATGGGTCATCGATAAATGACGTCACGCTTTTTTTGATGATTTTAAACTCCGTCTGGAGCTCGTGTGTCAAAAAGGGGAGTGACAGGGTTGGGGGTGGTTGTGGTGAGAGAGTGGTGTATGTGCCGTGGGGCAGATAATTAGCTGAATTCTTCTGCGTGTATTCAGTAAACACGGCATGTATATGTTATCAAAAAGGGTTAACGACACCAGAGAATCAGGGGCACTTAATCAGGATAAAATATCAGCTATTTTTGTCAGTCTCTGTTGTTTCAATGAAATTGACAAGTTTCCTAGACAACCATCAACTAACGTACTAACAAAGCAGTTTTTTTTATGTTGAATATGCTGCTAGTATTTTTATGAAAAATACAATAAAATAAATTGTAGTAAACGTGATTTCTGTTGTTTTTTTTTACTTTTACATTTTAGAGAAATTTAAACAATGGGCGATATTGCTACGCAGAGTGGCCACCCCTGCCTTTAAGAAAATATTACCTAGTTCTATGTGGCGCCACCTACCGCTGGTTAGCCAGGGAGAGATAAAAGTTTTCGAACTAAATCAATTGTTGTGAACGGGATTCCCATTGAAAACAAAAACATGGCGGCTATTTGTTAGTAGGCCCCGCTTCAAGATTTAAAAATCATCAAACGTTCCAGAAATGCAACAATTGTAAAACCTTTCAACGCTGTTTTGTTCATATGGATGGGAACAAATACATGTGTATGCATTTCTGAATATAAAAGTTTTGTGGCGGTAAGTATATTCAATATACTATTGATTTTATTTCTTTTGTTGATAGTTTGTCCAAGGATAGGGGACATTACTCTGACTCTACTCAGTCTTTGCTACTAAGATCTAGATCTACATTGCTTCAATCTAATCTAGTTCTAAAAGTATAAGTTCATGAATTAGAATTCATTAGATCTAGATCTAGTATTTTAGTAATCTAGATAAAATATTAGGGAAATGATGACTCTCAGTCTCACTCAGCCTACAACTTAATACAACTTAATCTTAATCGAATCTAGAGATCTTACTGATCTAGATTCTAGATCTAGATTAGAGATGGAATCTACATCTAGAATCTATCTAGAATCTAGATCTAGCTATCACCTATCTACAATTCTACATCTTATTAATTAAATAGATCTAGATCTACTAATCAGTACTAATCTAGATTTAGAGTCTAGTAATCTCGCTAGAGTCTAAGTCTATTACTATTAACTATTAACAATATTGTTGTCAAAGTCTAGATCTAGATCTAGATCTAAATTCTAGCTAGATCTAGATTTCTAGATGATAGTAGATCTTAAAGTAAGTAGCCTATTTAATAGGCCTAATTTAGTATTTAATTCCTAATTCTTAAGTCTACAATCAACTACACTGTAAAATAAAAGAAACTAGATCTAGAATCTAGACTACTTTAGTCTATAAATTTTAAAAAAATCCTGTATGTCGTATGTTACTGTCTACGTCGGAATTTTCAAGAGGACTTTTTTTTAGTCATAGATCTAGATCTATAAAAAAATTATTATTATTATACAGGGTCTAGTCCTACGTCAAAAAACATGTGTGTTCTAGATCTATCTATATAAAATATAATATATTTGTGTGTGTGTGTTATTTTAAAATTAATTTACATAAAACAACTCATCGTCGGAGTTTGTTTTGATTCCAAAAGCGAAAGTAGATTTCATAACTTAAACAAAATATTCACATTTGGTTTGAAAAAACAAAAAATCGCTAGGTGGCAACTACCGGAGCGAGAACTGGGTAAGCTACTTTAACAACTTAAAGAAAGCGCCTGTAGATGGCGCCACATAGAACTAGGTAACATTTTCTTACAGGCAGGGGTGGCCACTCTGTGTAGCAATATCGCCCATTATAAAGTCGCATGTATCTGCGTTGAAAATGACAACCAAATCAGTTTTAATACTAATATATTATTATTGATACGTTCAAAAAATAAAACAAACTACATTTTGTGAAGTAACTTTTTATTTCTCAACTACATTAGCCTCAACAACGTACTCACTAGCCAAACTACATCAGCTTCAACATGTCCTCACTTGCCAAACTACATCAGCCTCAACAACGTCCTCACTAGCCAAACATGAGCACTGGTATCATTTTTATGAGGTATCTGGGAATAGAAATAAAACATTTCAATAATTCCACATGCAATTTTTTTATCCGCTCTAAGATTACGCTAAACTCTAACTAAAAACGAAACAGTTTTAATCAAAGACTCAAATATGTCATCTATGAAAAAACACCCTATCAACCAATTAAAACGAAAGAATATTTTGACGACACTACTGATTGAGCGAATAAGCATCAAATATAAAACTTTAAAAATTCTTATATAGACTAGAGATTAGGGCCAGAATTAGGGTTAGTAACTGAGTTTGTGATTAGTGTAACAACCACCTAATTACGCAAGGAATACCATCCTCTTACCCCACCATGTTTCACTACCCCCTTCACCACCACCTTACCCCAGAAACACTTCCAGACCAGAAAATCCAGCATGTTATTTCACCCCCCCCCCCCAACCCCCACCCCTCCCGTCAGTACAAGGACGAGCTTACCCCAGAAACTCCATCTTCTCCAGCTTCCCATTCTTGTTGCCGTCTATAGCCTGGAATACCGCGTCAAACTCCAACATGGTGACGATCCCATCCTTGTTGACGTCGATGTACTTGCCCCAGTTCTCCGTCTCCTTGATCGAGGTGTCGATGTTCGCGAACACAAAGTCAAAAAACTCGTTCATGGACATAGCGTTGTCTTTGTTGTAATCATACACCTGTCATGATTAAATCTTATACAGATCATCATCAGCTCTTCAAATATGGAAGCAATGTACTAGACCAGCGGTCGGCAACCTTTTGAAGCGGAAGAGCCATAAGTTACAATTTTCAAAATTTCCCTGGTTTTAAAGAGCCACAAACATTTTTTTATTTCAAATATTTTATTTTTTATTAAGATTCTTAGTATTAGTGCAAGGAGCTGGAGAGCCGCATATTGATATCAAAACAGCCGCATGCGGCTCGCGAGCCGCAGGTTGCCGACCCCTGTACTAGACACTAAACTGTTGTGTTTAAAATTGTGTCGGCCTTAATGCAGTGAGTTAGCCACAGAACCTATGACTGAACCTATGACTGAACCTATGACTGAACCTATGACTGAACCTATGACTGAACCTATGACTGAACCTATGACTGAACCTATGACTGAACCTATGACTGAACCTATGACTGAACCTATGACTGAACCTATGACTTAACCTATGACTGAAACTATGACAGAACCTATGACTGAACCTATGACTGAACCTATGACTGAATCAAAGACTGAACCTATGACTGAACCTATGACTGAACCTAAGACTGAGCCTATGAATGAACCTATGACTGAACCTAAGACTGAGCCTATGACTGAACCTATGACTGAACCTAAGACTGAGCCTATGACTTAACCTATGACTGAACCTAAGACTGAGCCTATGAATAAACCTATGACTGAACCTAAGACTGAGCCTATGACTGAACCTATGACTGAACCTAAGACTGAGCCTATGAATGAACCTATGACTGAACCTAAGACTGAGCCTATGACTGAACCTATGACTGAACCTAAGACTGAGCCTATGACTGAACCTAAGACTGAGCCTATGACTGAACCTATGACAAGAAGATTTAACTCCGTCTGTCCGCCGTAACAAGAGTTACATGCAATCGAAGACCAGCAGTTACCTGTTACATAATACAAATTGACAGAGACCCACAACTAACTGTTACATAATACAAACTGAATTAGCCCTAAAATATCTGTTACATAAAATAAACTGTCAGAGACACTCAACTACCTGTTACAAAATAAAAACTGGCATAGACCCTCATCTACCTGTTATATAATACATATTGACATAGACCCTTAACTACCTGTCACATAAATCAAACTGACCTCACCAGCAGCTATCTGCCACACAACCCACACAAACCACACCAACCACACAACCCACACAACCCACACAAACCACACAAACCACACAAACCACACAAACCACACAACCCACACAACCCACACAACCCACACAACCCACACCAACAATACAACCCACACCAACCCCCACAACCCACACAAAACACACAACCCACACTAACCGCACAACCCACACAACCCACACAACCCACACAACCCACACAAACCACACAACCCACACAACCCACACAAACCACACAAACCACACAAACCACACAAACCACACAACCCACACAACCCACACAACCCACACCAACAACACAACCCACACCAACCCCCACAACCCACACAAAACACACAACCCACACTAACCGCACAACCCACACAACCCACACAACCCACACAAACCACACAACCCACACAACCCACACAAACCACACAACCCACACAACCCACACAACCCACACAACCCACACCCACAACACAACCCACACCAACCCCCACAACCCACACAAAACACACAACCCACACAACCCACACAACCCACACAACCCCCACAACCCACACAACCCACACAACCCACACAACCCACACAACCCACACAACCCACACAACCCACACAACCCACACAACCCACACAACCCACACCCACAACACAACCCACACTAACCGCACAACCCACAAAACCCACACAACCCACACAACACACACAAACCACACAACCCACACAACCCACACAAACCACACAATCCACACAACCCACACAACCCACACAACCCACACAACTCATACAAGACATACAACCCACACAACCCACACAACCCACACAACCCACACCAAAGACCAGGGACCAGCCCTACCCTCACAGCCGACCGAAGTTCCTCCTTGGACAGGTCACTGTCTTTGTTGACGTCCAGCTTGGCGTGCAGGTTCAAGACGTCACTGAAAGCAACCCCCAAGCTCAAGGCTGGCAGCAGTACAAAAACCCAGAGTGGCGACATGATGCAGGTCAGTAGGTCAATCTGTAAAGATATCTAAATAAAATATCGGGATAGACAAAAGTACGGTGGCATTTTAATACGAAAAAGATTCTGTCTTACCTTCAAGGTATTCGTTGTGAATTGCAATTCTCATCATGTGCAGCTTCAAACTTTTATACCTGTGCCCGGGGTTAATTCTATGCCGAGGTTAACTATACAAGATCTTCTCATATGTACTCAGCTAAACAATTCAGGTGGTGATTACAAGCGCTGGGCACTCATCAATGCTAATTCAACTAGCCCTTCAAAGATGTACTCACCTGAACAATCCAGGTGGTGATTACAAGAGCTCTACAGATCTAAGGTGACGTGCACGAGATCACTACATATCGTGACAGAAGTTGGGACATATGGAACACTACATACACATACACATACCATCAGACTAGAGAGATGGAAGAATACATACATACACCATCAGGATAGAGAGATGGAAGACTACATACACATATCAGAGTGGAGAGATGGAAGACTACATGTGGGCGTTAACTCTGTTACACGTGATTGTGCAGAAAAAATATACATATTATGTTTTCTTCCCTATTTTCTAGCTTTGAATAAACACTGTAAATATTACTGTACAATAACCTTTTTACAAGCTTTTATTTAACTCACTTCCTCTGTCGACAGTCTGTCTGTCGTTAGTCTGTCTAGATCGAAACGCCGCAGCGAATATTCGGACACTTCTACTTGAAAGATACAGTTCAAAGTTGGCACGTAGGTCAAGACATGAAGACAATGCAATCTGATATTAAAATTTACTTGATTGGATGCTTAATTAATTTTTTATGAATTAATACAATTTTGAGAAAAATTAGTAGGCATATCTATCCGGGAGCCGGACGTTTTCCCGAAAGACACTTGCCCGAATGCCGTTTGCCCGAAGGCCGATTTCCCGAATGGACACTTGCCCGAATGCGACAAATGTTAATTGATGGTGATGTTAGTGTAATCTCAATGAAGGCCATACTACTATTGACAATTATATTGCTAATGTATGGCATCATGTGGCTACAAAGTCTGTTCTACTAAATAAACTTGATCACTATATTATGTTAAGTGATTGAAATAGAGGCAACTTAAAGATTTGGTATACATTTTTGGGTCAATGTGTTCATTAATGCACAATTAAATTGTGGAACCACAATGTTACGTTGTTCTGCTTTTAGCTTTGCTCTTTCAAAACGTGCTAATGTTCTAGCTCTGTAACTGTTCAAATGTTCAAAAGTTGTGGTAGTTCTGTCTATGTTGAAGTTCTACCTATGTTGTAGTTCTGTAGATGTGGTAGTTCTGTTTATTTGGTAGTTCTGTAGATGTGGTAGTTCTGTTTATGTGGTAGTTCTGTTTATTTGGTAGTTCTGTAGATGTGTTAGTTCTGAAGATGCAGTCGTTCTGTCGATGTTGTAGTTATGAATTTGTAGTTCATAAAGTTCGGTAGCTGTTGTAACTATAAGCTGTACTTGTTCAGTACAGTTACCTGTTGTAGATCTCAACTGTTATCTTTGATAGCTTAAAAAGTTAGCTTTGGTAATTCTGCATTTTATTTACACCTTTCGAGTTTTATAAAGAAGAAGAATAAATTTACTGATTGATAGTTTTATCTGTTTAATTAAGTCAATCAATTAATGCACTAAATGAAATAACAAACATAATGATTTATTACTGTACCATGTTGTTATTTACATAAAGTGTAACTTTATTATGACATTGTAACGTTGAGTAATTCTCAAGTGCCCTCAATCGTGCAGCTGTTGTTATTAAACAAACAGATAATAGCTAGCAGTCTTTTTTCACCAAAGATTTTCTATGGGGGGGGGGGGCATTTGAAACTTTTGGTGTGAATGAGAGCGAACTGAATTTTTAGAGGCGTGGGGTGTGGACAAAGAGGAGATGCATGAAAGAAACCCTGATGACTAGTGTTGGGTTTAATAAGCAATACATGATGTGCATTGAACATCGTATACGTGGTTACCTCGATAACTCTATACTTATATCTAACTGAAATAAAATAAATGGCTAACTCTAGTCTTAGTCATAAACCAAGCCGTAATCTATAGCATAATTTTAAACAGAAAACACACGTTTCTAAAGTTTAAAAAAGTTATTTGGATTTACCTGTTTTAGATTGTACTTGAACTAGTGTCTGCTGGACGAGCGAGGGATGAATGGTAATGAACGCGAGGGTGCGAGCGGTAAAGCGTATGTCTCGGTTTTTTTATTTTTGGCAATATTCTACAGTTCAATGCAGTTTCAGCGTTTTCAGACCGTTAAAGTGTAGAATGTATTTAATTATAGATATGTTGCCAAAATTCACTTACTGACGCAATATGTAGCCTGGCAACAGTTACTGATAATAGTTTGAATCTAACTTCATTGACACCAATAGCGTCCAATAGTTGTGTTCTACGTGGCTCTATTGTCGCTAATTGTGTCTAGTGAATAGTGTAGTCAGCATTTTACCCAGCGGCATTAGCTTCCCTAATGTGGGTCAGGTAAACATTGGAGTTGGGTGGACTCTAGGAACCCCACAGACTCGAACTCGAGCCTTTTGTTTTAGCTGTAGTAAGCTCTACCATTCGATTATATATGATTACGGTTAAGGTTCCGATTTCTATTTTGGTTAAGAGTAAAGTGTATTTCAGTTCAGTTTAAAATCGTCGTGTCAGTCTCGGTTAAAATTGCTGTTTCCGGTTATTCTTAATGTTGCTAATGAAGTTCCGGTTCCGAATAAAGATTTTGTTCAGCTATATTTCCGTTTCATGTTGACGTCCCGGTACAAATTAAATCAAATTTCCTGTTAAATGTCCTTACCCGATTCTAGTTTAGTTTACGGTTTTGATTAAATTATTAGTCCTCGATAAAGTTCAGTTTCAATATAAATGTCTGTTTCCGGTTGAAATAAGCTTACTTTTAGATTGTTTTTTTAAGCTAAATTTCCGGTTTGGAGGTGTAGTTGAGGTAAATTTTTAGGTTAGCATCAACGATAAGGGTAGGGTAGAGGTAAACGTTCAATTCACGTTTAAAGTTCCTATTCTAAATTTAGTTCATGATCTGGTTAAGTTCCTGATCTCTTTACAGTTTTGGTTGCACGTTAAGATCCGATTCAAGGTAAAATTCCGTGGACGATTAAATTTCCGTTTAAATACGAAATTCCGTCCCCGGGGAAAGTTGATTAGTCTATAGAGTTTCGTTACCTGCTAATTTTACGAGTTTAGCAAATAATATGTCGATTCCAGATAAAGATCCGTTTTCGATTTAATTGTTTTTCAGGTTTAAATTTCTTTTTGGACAAATTACCATTTCTGATTCCGGTAAAAATGCAAATTCCGGAAAAAGTACACTTATCGGTTAAATTTTTTTCCAGTTAATATTTTCCGTTTTTACTTAATTTTAGTATTCGTTTTAATTTTCTGATGTTGTTATAATTCATGTTCTTAATAAAATTTTGGTTTCGGGTGAAGTTCCATTGTCAGATTAATTTCCGCTTCCGTTTCCTTTTTGTTGTAAAATACATTTTCCGGTAACATTGATTTTCGTTATGTTTCTAGATAGGTTAAATTGTAAACTCTGATTTCGGTTGACACGCTTAGGTTACGATTTAGTACATATGGCGATAAAAGTAATCTTTTCGGTTAAGTTTTCTTTTCCGTTAAAAGTTCGAACACCAATAAAAATACAGGTTTCGGTTTAAGTTCTTTTACCGGTTCAGTTACAGCTTATTTTAAGTTTCCAATTAAATTTCCAGTTTTTTGTTCAGATTTAGTTAAAATTTCTATTTAAAATGGAATTTTCTGTTCGATCAGTAGTTTTGGTTTAATGTCCGTTTTTACATACATTATTATTTCCTGTTAATATTTTTAATATTTGGACCGAGATAAATGTCCTGCTCTGGTTTTAAGGTTTAAATTTAGATTTAAGTTAAGTAGGTATATATTGTTTTTGGTTTTGGTTTAGAGAAAGGTAACAATATCAGCATAGCGTAGTATTTTCCTCTTAACGGGCTAAATGTCTATTATTTAAAACAAAACAAAGCAGATATCTATCTTTAAACAATAGCGAAGTAGTTCATTCTGGAAACCTGTAATAATAAATGATAAGCATAATTTAACCATCTAGATCAATATATTTACACCATTAACAAAATAATTGAACTGTAACTAAACGTCTATTACAACAATAATAAATACTCAAAAAAAACATGTACAGCTAAATACGTTAGGAAAACATGTTACCAATTGGTAACTTTAAGACTAATATAACTTTAGCCGTATCATGAAATCTCATGAATGATTCGCTCTTATATATATATATATATATATATATATATATATATATATATATATATATATATATATATATATGCGTGTGTGTGTGTATTTATAAAAGTTTGTAATTACATTTAGTTTTGGGATCATTTTTCTGCCAAAATTGTCTTTATTGTTACTCAATACAACATGGGTTGTTTATCATTAACTAATATTTTATGACGACACATAAGGCCAAGTTTTCCTTCACGTGGGATTGTAACGTAAGACTACAATTTAATACAATACAAAGCAAAGCATACTCTAAAACAGCTGGAAAAATGTGCTATCTTGGAATAAAAATATGAAAACAATTATAACACATACTAAAATGAATTATTTACTTTATATCTTTACACTTTACACCTTTAAAACCTTTTCTCTAAACCGAAAAAACTGCAAAAAACCCCGAAAAAAGAATGTATCGCTAAGTAATTTAAAAAAAAATTGTTATTATTAAAAATTATATCGTTAAAGCTGACAAAATTTTTCATTGAATGTAACTTCTTTAAAGTCAAAGTCTTAATTACTTTAGCATTTACATTTAATTTCGCGACATATTTTTAATTATTTATATAGGCCTATATATATATATATATATATATATATATATATATATATATATATATATATATATATATATATATATGTGTGTGTGTGTGTATGTGTGTGCGTGTGTGTGTGTGGTTGCACCGATAGACAGATGTTCACCTATTACTTCTAGCTACAACTGTTGTCAATTATTTGTTTGACGGCCCCTCTTCTAGCTACAACTGTTGTCAAT